TCACCAAAATGCTCCAGTCTCAAAATGCTCCAGTCGCAAAATGCTCCAGTCACCAAAATGCTCCAGTCACCAAAATGCTCCAGTCGCAGAATGCTCCAGTCACCAAAATGCTCCAGTCGCAGAATGCTCCAGTCGCAGAATGCTCCAGTCACCAAAATGCTCCAGTCGCAGAATGCTCCAGTCGCAGAATGCTCCAGTCGCAAAATGCTCCAGTCGCAGAATGCTCCAGTCGCAGAATGCTCCAGGCGCAAAATGCTCCAGTCACCAAAATGCTCCAGTCGCAGAATGCTCCAGTCGCAGAACGCTCCAGTCTCAAAATGCTCCAGTCACCAAAATGCTCCAGTCGCAGACTGCTCCAGTCGCAGAATGCTCCAGTCGCAGAATGCTCCAGTCGCAGAATGCTCCAGTCGCAGAATGCTCCAGTCGCAGAATGCTCCAGTCGCAGAATGCTCCAGTCGCAGAATGCTCCAGTCGCAGAATGCTCCAGTCGCAGAATGCTCCAGTCGCAGAATGCTCCAGTTGCAGAATGCTCCAGTCGCAGACTGCTCCAGTCGCAGAATGCTCCAGTCGCAGAATGCTCCAGTCGCAGAATGCTCCAGTCGCAGAATGCTCCAGTCGCAGAATGCTCCAGTCGCAGAATGCTCCAGTCGCAGAATGCTCCAGTCGCAGAATGCTCCAGTCGCAGAATGCTCCACTTGCAGAATGCTCCAGTCGCAGAATGCTCCAGTTGCAGAATGCTCCAGTCGCAGAATGCTCCAGTCGCAGAATGCTCCAGTCGTAAAATGCTCCAGTCTCCAAAATGCTCCAGTCGCAAAATGCTCCAGTCACCAAAATGCTCCAGTCACCAAAATGCTCCAGTCTCAAAATGCTCCAGTCGCAAAATGCTCCAGTCACCAAAATGCTCCAGTCACCAAAATGCTGCAGTCGCAGAATGCTCCAGTCGCAAAATGCTCCAGTCTCAAAATGCTCCAGTCTCAAAATGCTCCAGTCTCAAAATGCTCCAGTCGCAGAATGCTCCAGTCGCAGAATGCTCCAGTCGCAGAATGCTCCAGTCGCAGAATGCTCCAGTCTCAGAATGCTCCAGTCGCAGAATGCTCCAGTCGCAGAATGCTCCAGTCGCAAAATGCTCCAGTCTCAAAATGCTCCATTGGCAAAATGCTCCATTGGCAAAATGCTCCAGTCGCAAAATGCTCCATTGGCAAAATGCTCCAGTCGCAAAATGCTCCAGTCACCAAAATGCTCCAGTCGCAAAATGCTCCAGTCGCAAAATGCTCAAGTCACCAAAATGCTCTAGTCACCAAAATGCTCCAGTCTCAAAATGCTCCAGTCGCAGAATGCTCCAGTCGCAGAATGCTCCAGTCGCAGAATGCTCCAGTCGCAGAATGCTCCAGTCTCAAAATGCTCCAGTCTCAAAATGCTCCAGTCTCAAAATGCTCCAGTCTCAAAATGCTCCAGTCGCAGAATTCTCCAGTCTCAAAATGCTCCAGTCGCAGAATGCTCCAGTCGCAGAATGCTCCAGTCTCAAAATGCTCCAGTCGCAGAATGCTCCAGTCGCAGAATGCTCCAGTCGCAGAATGCTCCAGTCGCAGAATGCTCCAGTCGCAAAATGCTCCAGTCGCAAAATGCTCCAGTCGCAAAATGCTCCAGTCGCAGAATGCTCCAGTCGCAGAATACTCCAGTCGCAGAATGCTCCAGTCTCAAAATGCTCCAGTCGCAGAATGCTCCAGTCGCAGAATGCTCCAGTCGCAGAATGCTCCAGTCGCAGAATGCTCCAGTCGCAGAATGCTCCAGTCGCAGAATGCTCCAGTCGCAGAATGCTCCAGTCGCAGAATGCTCCAGTCGCAGAATGCTCCAGTCGCAGAATGCTCCAGTCGCAGAATGCTCCAGTCGCAGAATGCTCCAGTCGCAGAATGCTCCAGTCGCAGAATGCTCCAGTCGCAGAATGCTCCAGTCGCAGAATGCTCCAGTCGCAAAATGCTCCAGTCACCAAAATGCTCCAGTCGCAAAATGCTCCAGCCGCAAAATGCTCCAGTCTCAAAATGCTCCAGTCTCAAAATGCTCCATTGGCAAAATGCTCCAGTCTCAAAATGCTCCAGTCTCAAAATGCTCCAGTCTCAAAGTGCTCCAGTCTCAAAATGCTCCAGTCGCAGAATGCTCCAGTCGCAGAATGCTCCAGTCGCAAAATGCTCCAGTCGCAAAATGCTCCAGTCACCAAAATGCTCCAGTCGCAGAATGCTCCAGTCGCAGAATGCTCCAGTCTCAAAATGCTCCAGTCTCAAAATGCTCCAGTCTCAAAATGCTCCAGTCGCAGAATGCTCCAGTCGCAGAATGCTCCAGTCGCATAATGCTCCAGTCGCAGAATGCTCCAGTCTCATAATGCTCCAGTCTCAAAATGCTCCAGTCTCAAAATGCTCCAGTCTCAAAATGCTCCAGTCTCAAAATGCTCCAGTCTCAAAATGCTCCAGTCTCAAAATGCTCCAGTCTCAAAATGCTCCAGTCTCAAAATGCTCCAGTCTCAAAATGCTCCAGTCGCAGAATGCTCCAGTCGCAGAATGCTCCAGTCACCAAAATGCTCCAGTCTCAAAATGCTCCATTGGCAAAATGCTCCAGTCGCAAAATGCTCCAGTCTCAAAATGCTCCAGTCGCAAAATTCTCCAGTCACCAATATGCTCCAGTCTCAAAATGCTCCAGTCACCAAAATGCTCCAGTCGCAGAATGCTCCAGTCGCAGAATGCTCCAGTCGCAGAATGCTCCAGTCGCAAAATGCTCCAGTCACCAAAATGCTCCAGTCGCAAAATGCTCCAGTCACCAAAATGCTCTAGTCGCAGAATGCTCCAGTCGCAGAATGCTCCAGTCGCAGAATGCTCCAGTCGCAGAATGCTCCAGTCGCAGAATGCTCCAGTCGCAGAATGCTCCAGTCGCAGAATGCTCCAGTCGCAGAATGCTCCAGTCGCAGAATGCTCCAGTCGCAGAATGCTCCAGTCTCAAAATGCTCCAGTCGCAGAATGCTCCAGTCGCAGAATGCTCCAGTCGCAAAATGCTCCAGTCACCAAAATGCTCCAGTCTCAAAATGCTCCATTGGCAAAATGCTCCAGTCGCAAAATGCTCCAGTCTCAAAATGCTCCAGTCGCAAAATTCTCCAGTCACCAATATGCTCCAGTCTCAAAATGCTCCAGTCACCAAAATGCTCCAGTCGCAGAATGCTCCAGTCGCAGAATGCTCCAGTCGCAAAATGCTCCAGTCACCAAAATGCTCCAGTCGCAAAATGCTCCAGTCACCAAAATGCTCTAGTCGCAGAATGCTCCAGTCGCAGAATGCTCCAGTCGCAGAATGCTCCAGTCGCAGAATGCTCCAGTCTGAAAATGCTCCAGTCGCAGAATGCTCCAGTCTCAAAATGCTCCAGTCGCAGAATGCTCCAGTCGCAGAATGCTCCAGTTGCAGAATGCTCCAGTCTGAAAATGCTCCAGTCGCAGAATGCTCCAGTCTCAAAATGCTCCAGTCGCAGAATGCTCCATTGGCAAAATGCTCCATTGGCAAAATGCTCCATTGGCAAAATGCTCCATTGGCAAAATGCTCCAGTCGCAAAATGCTCCAGTCTCAAAATGCTCCAGTCTCAAAATGCTCCAGTCTCAAAAAGCTCCAGTCTCAAAATGCTCCATTGGCAAAATGCTCCATTGGCAAAATGCTCCATTCGCAAAATGCTCCAGTCGCAAAATGCTCCAGCCGCAAAATGCTCCAGTCGCAAAATGCTCCAGTCGCAAAATGCTCCAGTCGCAAAATGCTCCAGTCTCAAAATGCTCCATTGGCAAAATGCTCCAGTCGCAAAATGCTCCAGTCGCAAAATGCTCCAGTCTCAAAATGCTCCAGTCTCAAAATGCTCCAGTCGCAAAATGCTCCATTGGCAAAATGCTCCAGTCTCAAAATGCTCCAGTCGCAAAATGCTCCAGTCTCAAAATGCTCCATTGGCAAAATGCTCCAGTCGCAAAATGCTCCAGTCTCAAAATGCTCCAGTCTCAAAATGCTCCAGTCGCAAAATGCTCCAGTCGCAAAATGCTCCAGTCGCAAAATGCTCCAGTCGCAAAATGCTCCAGTCGCAAAATGCTCCAGTCGCAAAATGCTCCAGTCGCAAAATGCTCCAGTCGCAAAATGCTCCAGTCGCAAAATGCTCCAGTCGCAAAATGCTCCAGTCTCAAAATGCTCCATTGGCAAAATGCTCCAGTCTCAAAATGCTCCATTGGCAAAATGCTCCAGTCGCAAAAAAGGCTCCAGTCGCAAAAAATGCTCCAGTCGCAAAATGCTCCAGTCGCAAAATGCTCCAGTCGCAAAATGCTCCAGTCGCAAAATGCTCCAGTCGCAAAATGCTCCAGTCGCAAAATGCTCCAGTCTCAAAATGCTCCATTGGCAAAATGCTCCAGTCTCAAAATGCTCCATTGGCAAAATGCTCCAGTCGCAAAAAAGGCTCCAGTCGCAAAAAAGGCTCCAGTCGCAAAATGCTCTAGTCTCAAAATGCTCTAGTCTCAAAATGCTCCAGTCTCAAAATGCTCCATTGGCAAAATGCTCCAGTCTCAAAATGCTCCATTGGCAAAATGCTCCAGTCGCAAAAAAGGCTCCAGTCGCAAAATGCTCTAGTCTCAAAATGCTCTAGTCTCAAAATGCTCTAGTCTCAAAATGCTCCAGTCTCAAAGTGCTACATTGGCAAAAAAGGCTCCAGTCGCAAAATGATCCAGTCGCAAAATGCGACTGTTTTAAAAGTGCAACACCCTACCCCTAACAAGCTTGGAAATCAGCTGTCCCGACAGCGTTTTGCAGCACTACCTCAATTAGCTAGAGATGTGCACTTGACATGCACGAAACAATTACAAGAATTTAATATAAGTTTAATGTAAGTAATTGGTAGCTAAGAACCACAAATTAAGACATAAAATTGAGAAAAAAACCTTTTTGTACCTTTGATCCTTTTTCAACAAAGTTCTAAAACCACTTTAGAAATTAGTCATGGCTTACCCAAAGCGAAAACATCTGACGTCACAAAGTTCCCAGGCAAGAACCACCCCACAGTATTAACACCCTGCGCAGGCGGAATAAACAAGTCAAGTCGGCATAGAATTTTGCAAAAGTCATCTTTGAAATAGAAATACCGGTTAATTTACTTCCGACATGGGCGATGCCGACAGAGCAATGAACGAACCGGAAGCGACCAAGACGGTAGCCGGAATCCAGGTGATTCCCGCCGAGGATGTCTCCTCCATCGAGGAGGTTATCACCATCGACCCGGAGTGCTACGAGCTGGACCTGAATCATCGCCGGATCGAGAAGCTGGAGAACTTCGAGCCCCTCACGAGGATCGAACGCCTGTTCCTGCGCTGGAATCTGATCAAGAAGATCGAGAACCTGTCCACCCTGAAGACCCTGATCGAGCTGGAGCTGTACGACAATCAGATCACCAAGATCGAGAACCTCGATGATTTGACCAATTTGGAGGTGCTGGACATCAGCTTCAATCGCCTCACGCAGATTGAGAACCTGGACAAGTTGGTCAAGCTGGAGAAGGTCTACTTTGTGTCCAACCGGATCACCCAAATCGAGAACCTGGGGATGCTGACCAATCTCACCATGTTGGAGCTGGGGGACAACAAGCTGAAGAAGATTGAAAACATCGAGATGCTGGTCAACCTGCGACAGCTCTTTCTGGGAAAAAACAAGATAGCCAAGATCGAGAACCTGGACACATTGGTCAATTTGGAGATCCTCAGTCTGCAGGCCAATCGAATTGTGAAAATCGAGAACCTGGAGAAGTTGACCAGCCTCCGCGAACTCTACATATCGGAGAACGGAGTGGAAACCATTGAAAACCTCGACGAGAACAAAAATTTGGAAACTCTCGACCTTGCCAAGAACCGATTGAAAAGCATCGGCAACCTGGAGAAGCTGGAACTGCTGGAGGAGCTCTGGCTGAACCACAACGGGGTGGACGACTGGAAGAACATAGAGCTGCTGAAGGTCAACAGGGCGCTGCAGACCATCTACCTGGAGTACAACCCGCTGGCGAAGGACGTCCGCTATCGCTCCAAGCTGCGCGACATCCTGCCGCAGCTGCAGAAGATCGATGCCACCCTGTGCAAGGTGCCCGGGTCCTAGACGGATCCACAGTAACCCCCTCGAAAGACTAATCCACGGCGATGCGCCAATACATTTATATTGATTAACTTTGGAAAACTGCGTTTAAAATATACATGAAAAAATTAACCACTTCAAAGAAGCTGCTATTTAATATCATCTTGGTATGGTTTTTTTGATCCAGCCCTTTTTTTACTTTAACGCAAGTATGAATCACTCAAAAGTTGACATTTACTGTATGAGTCAGGTTAATTATTAACAGATATAATTAAAATATCTGTTCTTATCTTTTACTTACAATTTGCCTTATTTATTCAGTTTCAATTTCAAAGTTTGTTACTTGTAATCAAAGTATGGTGTTTGTATTTTTTTATCAAACATAATATCGTTTATTTTAACAGCAAGAAAGACATTTTACCATATCAGAGTACATTTAATGGAATATATTTTGTATTTGTATTGTTTTATTAAGTGAAATCACAGGGCTTAATTGATAAGTGGCTTTTGTAAATGTTTTTGTCTGCTTGATTTCTTTTTGTGCACTTTGTTGATCATGTGTATTCTTATCAATATTTTTTTTTGTTCACGCATATATTGTTGATATATACAAAGTGTATGAGGCGTCAAGTGGTTTCCTTCTGGAGGAGGTCTTCAATTCGAAACAGCGTAATAGTCGGAGGGGCTGACTTTATGGGGACCTCCGTAGAAATCCAGCACAAAGATATTGCTAATCTCCAGCTCGCAAAGATAAAAATTGTGGACTGTGGAGGAAATAAAAAATATTGGCAAGTTAGTCAAAGTTTACTAGACTTCGAAAACTCCAAACCAACCTTTAATCCAATTGCTGGCAGCTGGATGACGTTTCAGATAGGCATCCAACGCAGGTTGATAGCTGCTATCGCTGGGATCCATCTGAAGATTGATATTGAATTTTTACAAAAGAGTTTAAATAATTTGCTTAATTTTAGACTTACTTTTTTCACCTGTCCACTAATCATGGAGCGGGCACAGGTGGGCTCCATGGGATCCTTGCCGCCGTCCTTGCACCTAAGGGTCTGCTCATCGCTGAACAGGAAGGTGACCTTGTTATCCTTTTGCCAGTCGGGTCCAGTGAAATCCAGATCGGTCAGCAGGAAGTGGATCCTTCCGGTGGAGTTGTCATTCGCATCGCTATCATCTATGGAGATAATGTTGACCATGGGATATCCTTGCACCAGTTTATCGGTCGAGAGACTTCCCAAGGCCCCCCAATTGGCCCGATGGACCAGATCCCTGGCGATCTTGGCGTGATTTAAGTCCTGATTTCGCTTGTATTCGCTGATAACACGGGCATCTTCTCGGGGGGAATATCCAAATGTGGTACTTGGGATCGTGATGGCCAATATCAAGGCCAACAGTATTGAAGGGCAGGGTTTCATGGCTGGACTGCAAGTATAACGATTCGGTTTTGAAAGATCACTGATCACTGGGCAGCTGAAAGATCGGGAACAGGGCATTTATGGGCTCGAAATTCTCTGGTCTTATCACTCCGGTCACTTTTAATATTCTCTGTGATTCACGTGAATCGAAAACAAAGCGGACCAACGGATACCATTGACCTTTCCCGCCTTTCTCCCTCCGCCATTGTACGCCGTATTCTGCACGTATTTCCTATATATACTCGACTAGGTAGACTATGTACCTGGAGGATCTAGAGTGCTGCTCCGCTTATCGGTACTTCTGCTTTGAGATTTGTTTGTAAACTGACTGTGCAACTATTGCAGCTCTATTATCACCTGGTTCGAGAACAAAGAACCAGAAACAGCTGTTTTGAGCAGGTACCTCGGATTGGGATAGGGTGTATATGACACATGAAGATCAGGTTTTATTCGGTTCCTTAACTCTTAACCACTTAATTTAAGTGGCGGTGATATTTTTAGCCAATTAAGTCTTAACAAAAACTGGCTAATGATCGCAATTAACAGTCTAAATTTGGAACAAGCTTTTCTCGAAATTAAAAATTAATAGGCTATTAAAAAGTAATTAGGTACAGAAGGGGCTATATTTAAAATAAATGAAAACAATTAGTTTAATTGTATAACCTTCCTGAGCAATCATTTCAAAATTTAATAAAACCACCATCAAAATGTTTAATCGAGGGGTACCAAATGAACGATCATCCAATAACAGTACATACAGCGTTGCCAGGCTAAAACAAAGACCTGGATAGACACAGGCCGAGTTCAAATATTTTAACATTTTCTTTCATTTTATTTCGCAAATATGTAGGTATGCTTAAATATGTTTTTTCTTTAGGAGTATCATTATATTTTGACTTGATCTTGTTTACCATATAACTTGTACATTTCACTTTCATTTAACTTGACCTCATTTAACATTTATTGTTTCTATTTGCGATGGCTCGAAATTTCGCCAACTCCTGGTTCTGAATATCCACCGTGTTTTCGTGTTTTCGTTATTCTAGTGTGCGATTATTAGTTTAACATTTATTTGTATTTCTGTTACATTTACGTTTTTATTTTTGTACCGTTGGAAATATACTTTTTTTTTTATATATTATTAGACATTTTTTTGTTGTAATTAAATTACGTTTGCCAGATTAGTTTACCCTGCCGCATACAGTTTGTTTGAAAAATATATGTACATATCTCATGGAGTCCTGAAATAAATATGTACGCATAGATCTCGAGTGTTTTCTCAAAAAATAGTTGTGTAAAAGTTGATCGTAAGTGTATAGTGTAAATATGTCTGTATGGATGTAAACCATTTAAAGTTAGTTTCGTTGATTTATTGATTTTGTTAAAGATTTGTTTTAAAATTTAAAGCCCATTTGCGTTGCATTGCAGCGGAGAGTAGCTCAAAATTTGTATCTTCCTTCTTTCTTTGTGTTTCAAGACATTTAGCTTACGATATAAAAATAAATAAATTGATTTTTGTAACTTTTTTTGAGCTGATTCAATGGAGTAGTACCATAATGGCAGATCGGAGCATAATTGGTTGAACAAAAGTGTTTTGACAATAAAACAAGGTAAATATACTTGTGTAAATCGGATATACTCTTTAACAAATAATTACAATTAATAAGGAAAATTAAGATTTTTAATTTAATATGTTTTTTATTATGTCAAAACACTTTTTCCCAATCTTTTATATCGTATTATCCAACTTCGCTAGAAGAACAGCAACTCTGAGTCCATGTTATCTCTAGATATCTTTTATGCTTATCAGTTATGTGGCATTTTACAATATTCAATTACGTTTAACTCTTTTTACTTGCCATACAAATATCGTTGATTATGGTTATGATAACTAAATGCATTTAAATCATCTATAATATTCATACAAATCAATTACAGACACACCAACATTAAAATGATGAAGTATACAACATTATATTTCGCTAATTTAATGCCATAATGCCAAACGTGCAAGTGGCTGTAGTACTTTACGTGGTTATTTTATGCTTAGACTAACATACAAAATTTTGCATTAGCTTCGCCCCAGTCAGGCCGATCTTTATAGTCCGCAGACTTACATTTAGCACCGTATGCATGTGAAAAATGTAAGCTTACCTGGGGGAGCCACAAAAAAAAACTTTTGCAATCTTCACAATTCAACAAATTACACACAGTTTAATACTTGTTGCTTGGATTTCTGCGCTTGCTTATACTAAATACGACTACGATTTATGTGTATACAGATTAATAATTTCTTAACCATTTTTTGTTTTTAGTTTTAATATTTTTTTCAAACAATTCCTTGGCGCTTGCGTATTTTTTGTGTAGTTTTGAACGTTAGATTTAGCTTTCTCCGTGACCAAAAATCGAACAGAAGGTTTAAAGCTTTCAATTCACTTTCGTTTCGTTTCGCGTGTTACATTTTTGACTAGCTTGGAAGCATGATTTAAATTAGAACCTAAAGTGTGGACACTGAACTGGACTTGAACACAGAAAGAAAAGCAAATCGGGGCAGTTTACAATACGCGGGACATTGGTATAACGTGGTAAAGCTATCGTTTTGTCAGCCAACGCACTCCAGTCGGGTTAAGGGATCAAACCACAGTAGAAGGTTAACAAAATCCGAATCAGTTACAGAAACGATTTCAAAATCAATCATATTTGGATGTGGGCTTTGTCAAACAATTGAATATATTTAAAAGTTAAATAAATATAGCCTTTATCCATAAAGTTTCCCTTGAACAAATCGACAGGAAAACACCTAACTATCGTGGTTTCATCCCTCAATAATTGGGATTAGGGATGGGGACAGGATCTCGCCCGTTAGCTGAGATCGCACCGTTAGCGACGGTCGCTGCTCCTGGAAGCGGTTCCACCTGCTGCTGCCGCTCCTCCACCTGCACCACCACCATTTCCATTTCCACCTCCACCGGGCGCCTGGCTCACCGTCTGCAGCTCATACTGGTAGTAGCAGTCGCTGCCCACGTAGACGGTGCGCCAAACGCCGTCCACATCTCACATCTGGCGGTACGGCGAGTGCATTTTCAGCCACTGCAACACTAGCGACGGTCCGCCCGCCTGGATCTCCGGCGGAATCGTGCTCAGCGGGCACTTGTCAATGTTCAAATACTTGAGGTTTTGGCACAGAGCCAGCTCAAACGGCAGCTTTTCCAAACCGGGATTCTGGTTGATGTACAGATTCTCCAGGCTCTCCAGCGAACCAATCTCCTCGGGCAGGAACTGCAGGTTGTTCTCGCTAACAGACAGGTGAGTCAGGTTGCCCAGGTGGCCGATGCTGCGCGGCAGCATGGTGATTTGATTGGTCTGCAGGATCAATCTCTGCAGCTCGTGCAGCAGACCAATCTCGTGGGGCAGCACCTCGATGCGATTCTCCTCCAAGTCGAGTATCCTCAACCGCCGCAGATTGCCAATCGTATTCGGAATCTTCTTGAGCATATTGTTGGACAGGATAAGAATCTCTAGGTTTTGCAGGTTCATGATATCGTCGGGCAGCTTCTGCAACGCATTTGTGGCCAGATTCAGCTCCACCATGTTCACCCAAGTTCCAATGTCCAGTGGCAAAGCGGTCAGCATGTTCTCCTTCATGTTCAGCTTTGTGAGACCCTTGGCCCGCGAGAAAATTCCATAGGGAATCTTATCGATCCGATTGTGCTCCAGATTGATGCTGTAGACGTTCGTGAACTGCGCTGGTCCGCCGGTTGGATAGCTAGTGAACTGATTCCTCGAGAGAGTAATCGTAGTTAGTCCGCTCAAGCTGGCCAGCATTCCGTCTGGCAGCTGGGTAATGCCATTGCCCTCCACATTGAACTCGTCCATGCTCTTGCAGTTCTTCAAGGTGGCCGGCACGCTACTCAATCGATTGTAGCGCATGCCCAAGCGCACCAGGGACTTTAGATTCCCAATACTGTCGGGAATGTCCAGCAGTTCGTTGTGCTGCAGGTCCAAAGCGCTGAGGTTCACGCAGTTGCCAATGCTTTCGGGCAGGTGCTCCAGGTGATTGTGCGACACGTCCAACGTGGTGAGGTTCACCAGCGCACCAATGGCGCTGCCCAGCTCCCGGATCTTGTTCTCCCGCAGACTCAACATGGTCAGGTTGACCAGCTGGCGGAGATCATCCGCCACGGTGGTGATTCGATTGAAGCGCAGGTAGAGTGTGGTCAAGCTGCGCAGCCGGTAGATCACCGGCGGGATCTCCGCCAGCTTGTTGTGCCGCAGATCCAGCACCTTTAGCTGGCTGCAGTTCTGCAGGGACTCCGGCAGTGAGGTCAGCGAGTTCTCGTTCAGAGCCAGATTCCGCAGGCTCACCAGACACCCGATCTCCGGCGGAAGCTGACCGATCTTGTTGCTGTACAGGTAAAGTTCCGTCAGGTGCACGCACTCCTTCACCGTGCTGGGAATCACCGTGATCGAGGATTTACTCAGGTCCAAGCGCTTGATGCCTGCGGGGGAGCATAGGAAAACGTTATAGGTATTGTCCAAACAAAAGTATTTAAAGGAAATGTATAAATGTATAATTATTTACAGAAAAAGCAATTTCAATAAAGTTGCATATAATAATAATTATAATTATTTACAGAAAAAGCAATTTCTAAAAAATTGCATAAAGCAGAATATAATATTAAAATGAAATAATATGAAATACATTTCTTTTTTGAGACAAACTTACTGATCTTTTAATGTTTAATCTAAACACAAAATATATACAATGATAAAAACGTTATTTTCTTGAATGTTAAAAAAAAATATGTTCTATACATAGAAACATTAAAATACGGAATGAGCTTCTAATATTTAAAAAACTATATACGTTTGTTATATTGCAAGAGTAAAAATATTACAAATAACATTATAAAGATACGTTATAAAGAAAATATTTCGGAGACTCAATCTTATAAAATGTATTTTCTTTCGAAAGGCTACTGATAAGCAATTTAATTTTAATGTGTCATGTTTTTTATTTTACTTAAGATATTTTATCGAAATACTTGCCTTCATCCCGGCATCGCTGCAGCGCCTTGATGACATCCTGGTCCGCCTGGATAGGCTTGCTCTTCTTGGTGGTGGGCTTCGGCTTATTCGACTCCGGATGCTTGACGGTCACCATCTTGGGACGCGTTTCGGGCGGCATGATTGCGTTGTTTTCGTTGTGTGGCTGGCTGTGTCCGTTGCTGCCAGTCGGCTGGTGTCCACTAGCTCCTCCTGCTCCGTTTGCCGGACTGGTGGCGCTGTTCAGCTCCTCCGCGCCGGAAATAGCACCTGCTGTGCCCGATCCTCCGGCAAAGCAGAGTGTTGGGGCCTCGGAGGATCCCTCGCTGGACTTGCCGCCGCCGCCGTTTCCGCTGCCACCGCCTCCTCCTCCTCCGCCGCCTTCGGCTCCTCCGCCCGGAACTCCGCCGCTCCTCTCCGCCTGGCCCGTGGACGATAACGATGTGGTCGATGCCGTTGCGCCCGAGGAACACAAGTTCATAATTTTGCCCAGCTTTGCGGTCGGCGGCGACAATGCGTTGCCCAGAAGTGCGCCCAAGCAACAGCAGCAGCAGCCGCAGCCGAAGGAACTCGTTGCTTTAGTCTGAAACGGGAAAAGGAGATATTATAATCGAAAATCCGAAAAGTAATCCTTGTAAGGGACCGAAATTTATCTTTGAATATTTTCATTTTTCATGTGTGCCGGGATAAAATACCCTTACTTGTTTATGGCTGCACTTTATCAATTGTGCGTCAGCCGGTCGGCAATCGCATCGTGCGTCATCGTCATGCTGCTCCCACCCACCCATCCTCCTGCCCCACCCCGTGGCCACCCCCTCTCCGCCCACTCCACCTCCAGCCTGGCTTTATTACTTTTGCTTTTGTTTGTCGTCGCCGTCGCTCCTTATTAACCAGTTGACCATAAAGATTTCAGAAACGAAACCCTACACGCAAATCAATAATTAAGCATTCCAACAGTGACGTCAAAATAAGGCAAGTAAAATTGTTATCGCTGATGTTTCTGACTAGGAAATACCCAGTACTTTTTATGAGATCATAACAATGTTATGATTTTATTTATTCTAAGTAATCTGTGATTACTAATCACTTTGTTTTTTTATTTTTAATATTTTTTAATTGGGCCATAGATAAGGAGTTTTCAAGGGATATTAAATTTAATAAATTGCAATTAAAATCTGGTTTTAATTCTTAAAATTGGAAAACTATGGTTCTGACTAGGAAATATCCAATGTATTTGAATGAGATAATAACAGTGTTGTACATAATATTATTTATTTTAAGTAATAATTTTTTGTTCTATTTAAATCTTGTTATAAAATCAGAACAAACTATTTATGCTTTTCTTGGGCTGATGGCAAGTTATCGTACGATAGTAACTATTCCAGTAAGTGTTTATTTAAATATTAGAACTAAGTGTACGCATGTAGAGATAAGATTAGATAAGCATCTCTTGCTGTGCGGTCATTAATTAAATTAAATTTCACTTTGCTCCAGGGGGACTCGTACTCTTAAGCTTCTGTGATTCTTTAAAAGCTGTCAATGCCGCGGGCCACGTGCAGGAATCGCATCCCCCGTTCCGCCGCCCACCCTGCAACCTTGCCGCCCCCTTTACACCCACCACCACCTCCACCGCCCACAACGTCACACACGGAATGCTCCTGGTATTTTAACGGCAAATGTCAAGGTCAGTGAGAGCGGGTGTCAGGCGATTCCTGGAAAAGCCAGAGCCAATGCCAAAGTCAAAGGTTGAAAGTGCACCGTTACGATACCGTATACTAAGTACCATAGCCCCTGGAATACCGGACGCAGCGTAACCCGAACTGGATTGTTATTCAAAGCGAAAATTTGGAGACACGCTTCTCGGATTTCAGAGATTTAGCATATGCGAACAATGCACATTAAGGCCAATTTTGAATGGTCGCTCAAGTGGAAGATACACGGAAAAATATCACTTTTTCAGAGAGAATATCAAGATTTTGAAATACTTTTTTGATCATTAATATTATGAATATAAAAAGATATTTTTTTTTAATTTTTATTTATCATAACAAAATTAAGAAATATATTTTTGATATATCTACATTTTGGCAGGTAAATACCTGGCGAAAAGATATAGTTCTCAGTGTGTCGGGGATTTGATTCGACCGATCTGCTCGCTAATGCCCGGGAATTGTACGCAGCTTACGATAAAGACCCCGTAATGATAGATATAGAGGCCCGAGAACTGACAGTCGTCTGATTCATGGTAAATTTCCATTTCTTTGATTGCCATTGCACCGGAGCTCCATTGTTGTTATTGTTCTTTTTCGCCTTGTTTGTGGGCGGGGAACCAAACATAAATCGGCACAGATACACATACTATGTGTGCACAACCGGACATACACACAAACACGGGAGCAAACGCTATGAAAGCGCCAATTACTAAAAGTACAACTTACTAGTTTCACTTATTATGCCATTAAACTGATTTCTTAGAACTCTTTGCCGACTTCTTCCGATCAGGAGACCACCGCACGCATTATTCTAACAATAATATTGTTTTATTATTCAACTATCGGACATTTATCGATAAATTCAATTTTCGCCAGTGTGACCGCGGAACTAACAATGCTTTATACCGTCCGGTTCAGAGGAATATTCAGGGGGGTGTCCCCGCTAAGTCAGGAAGGTGTATCGGCTAACGGCACTGTTAACTCTGCTCTGTTAATTTCCCCCCAAATATAACCGATCGTTAAGCGTTTTCACTTTATATTTAAGAAAAGGAACTTAATAAATTATTAAAACAAAATTTTAGGAGTAACATAAACAGAGTACTTTTCCCTGTAAGGAATACGTGTACTGAAAAATCGCTGAAGAATTCAATGAACATTACTCACTGCACAAAGTAAAAAAAGGAACTTAATAAATTATTAAAACAAAATTTTAGGAGTAACATAAACAGAGTACTTTTCCCTGTAAGGAATACGTGTACTGAAAAATCGCTGAAGAATTCAATGAACATTACTCACTGCACAAAGTAAAAAAATATTATTAAACATTTCCGGGAGTCCTAGATGTCACCTTGAGTGTAAAATTGGTTTTACTTAGTTTAAATCGTTAATAATAGTTTTATTTAGATATCAAAATCGATCCCTTGATTAAAAACGTTTGAATAGTTGTTTAATCCTTATATCTCCGTTTTTCTTGAAATCACTAACGACAAAAAAAAACATTAATTGTAAATTTTTAACAAAAATTGTAAATTTAAAAATATATGTGTTCTTCTTTTCTAACAAAAGAAAAATATTGATTTAAGTAAATGCCCAAGGATTTATCACTTTTAAGAAGCTTCAAAATTTACAGGACGCCTAACTTAAAAGCTCGTCCTTTGGAGCTTTCATATGTTTTGCCTCAATTTTTACAATGTTGAGACTTTTCACAACAAATAAACACAAATATACATACCTATATAAGTATTTATAATATTATGTATAGTTTTTTTAGAAAATAATTAATTTTGCCTTTAGACTTATAAACGATTTGTTAAACCGAGTTAGCAAGGTCACTCAAGTAAACAAAATATAAGCAACAAAATGTGGTCAACACACACTCGCACACACATGGAGTGATATACATAATTTATGATACGCAAATATCTGGCATTGCAAAGCAGACAAAGATTTCCCTCGCTTTTCCAGCGAATAAGCAACAATTTCGGGCTCAACAAAAAACCAACCTGTTATTGAATTGCCAAGCGAGAAAACTTTTCAGCCTTCAGCGCTCAGGAAAAACACTCGAGTATATGCGGATTATATCCTTTGTGCTGCTCCTGCCTGCCCAAACAAATTTTCACTTGCGCCAACCAGCGTTGACTTTTCTTTTTTTCAACTTTTTTTCTTTTTCGTTTAATATCACTGCCACAATACACTTTCGGCTTGCTCTCCTAACACTTAAACTACAATTTTTGTTAATTTATTGCGTGCGATTTAAAACATTAACGAAGTCGTACAAAAAGGATGGCTTTTCTGGGAAAATAACGGAGGAAAATTGGCAATTTTCGTTCGCGGAGGTGACGTGACGCGTGCCTAGAGAGTTGAGAGTTACACATAAATACAGCATTAGTGGCTGCTGGTATATATCCTGCCCGTTCGCATCCACACGCGGTTCCTTGCGCCTCACATCGCGTATACGACGCGTGCGCCGTGAACTGCTGGCGCCCTCTGGCGGCGGCTGAGCGTGGCACCTTTCCGCTTTCGAAAATGGACGCTAGATTTTCATCCTTTGCAACTCGTCGTTGGTAATAAATTCGCAGGCCCTATCCGCTACAATGCGATAATCTGAAACAGGGATTTTTAGATTTCAATCAGTATTTCCTTTCATAAGTAATCTCTTTAAAATTACTTTCTGTTTGCCTTGAATGCAAAATAATTTTTTTTAAATTATACTAAATCCTAGTCTTACCCTTCTGGTACTTGCAGTTGTACATTCGCATCACACAACTGCTAGCAAAGCTGCGAAGACAACCGTCTAGGACGTCCAGGGCACAGACCACCCGATAGCCCATGGGACACACATCGTGACACTTTTTGGGACCTGGGATTAGAAAAAAGTATTTTACAAAAGTACCTGAGGTCGATCAGATTTTGACTTACCCGTCAAGGCAAAAAGCTGGCTCTCAACTACGGTTAGGATCCCTAGAACCACACAAATTAGAAATATTTTCTTGCCCAGTGTGCAGACAATTTGCATTTTTACTATCCAACCGTTCGCGCTGTTTGCCAATTTCGTATTAAAATTTAATTCCACAAAAGTTTTCAGGGACTGTCAAAAAATATTATTTTGTATATTTCGTGTGTCAATTGTGTCAATATTTATACATTTCTTAAAAATATTCAGCTGCTTCTCCTGCGCCTGGTTACTTTCCTCCTACCTTCTGCATTCATCCGAATCGCGTGTGCATCGACCTGTGGAGTCTTTTTTCCACTCTGGTGAAATATTTAATTTATAATAATTATGTATATTGCAGTTTTTTTTGTTTTCGACTCACCTTCACGTTTTTGGCAGGCATGCTGATCCATTTCGCAGGGGTTCCTGTAGGTACAACGAATTTCCCTGCCATTTCTCACCGTCTTCCCGCAAAGGTATTCAATTCCCCATCTTGTACAGCCATAGTTACAGACCTGTGACTTTGAAACTCCCAGAAAAGCCACCAGAACAACCAGGAGGATCAACTTCATTATGAGACGAGGGCTATTCAACTGCCCCCAGCTGCTGGTTTGATTTAGTTTTATATATGATCAGATTTAGGCCAGCCAATGAACTCGATTCGAAATCCATATTGTAAAACTGAAACAAAGGATTCGCTCCCATACGCCGATCTATATTCTTCAGCACGTGTAACTACGCCACATGCAATAAATATGTTTTCAAACATTACAATCCAGAGATAATAATATGTAAATAATAACGACATATAATTATATATTAAAACGAACGTATAAAAAAGTTTACTTTTAGGCTTGTTAAAAATTATTTATCGAAATAAAAAAAATGGTGCTCACTAATTAAAAATGTTACCTATTTACAGGCAACTTTCGAATTTAGGCTACCTTTTTATGCCTCATTGTTATTCGTGTAAGCATTCAAAATAATAGGATCTTAACTTTGTCAGTATGGAATAAACTATCGAACTATCAAAGAGAGGTTGATTATAAATAATATTTATGTTTGGATTCGGAGGGAGACGAGCTTTTTTCTGCTACTTTTTTATCTTCTGCAAGAATTCTCTAATATTAATAAAATCTCACAGTAAAATAATATGTAATGATAGCTCAAGGATGTCCAGGTTTGTAAGAATAATGAAAGTAAACTGAGTGTTCTTTTAACAGAATCATGTTTTATATTGAGCAACGCTGAATTGAAACAGAAGAAATAAGAACAGCTGAAACAATGCATTTAATTTAAATTTATTTTATTTATTTAAGCTAAATATAAATGAAAGCTGTTTAATAAAAATCCATAACTTAACAATCAAATAATGTATTATATTATATTTCATTTGCAACTTTTTTTTGTGCAGCTAACAATTTTGACCGCTTGTTTTTCAAGGACAAGATCCGATCGAGGGCTCACCAATATATGCTAAAATGTTTGAAAATAAATTATCTAACTAGAAGTTTTGAATCTGATGCTAACGCAGTTTACTTTATATATAAATGAATTAACGAGTACCTACCATTGGCATTTTTGCAGGAATACTGGTCCAATTGACAGCGGTTCAGAAAGGTCGTTTGTCGATCTCTTTTAATTCCGTTGATGTCCACATAGGAGAAAGAAGCACAAACTTGAGGTCCACTTAAGGGACAGCGAATTGGGCAATGTGACTTGCATTTATCTTGAGAGGTTGGAATCAAAGCTGACAAAAAACATTTGTAATATTCTTTTGAAAATTAGTAAACAACTTTCTTAGACATACGCCGCAAACATTGGTTTTTCCGTTGGCAGTTAAGCGATCCTAAGTGACAAGAGTTCTGGAAAACTCGGCAAACGCCATCCGAAACTGTCCAGACAATATTCTTGGCATAGGGATCACATCGAAACTGTAAGGTACAAGCTCCGGTACAATCTCTGATTTGAGCAAGATTCATTTTCAGAAATCCACAAAACAGAGTTCCAAGAAGTAAAAGCTTAAAAACATCCATTATTATAATAAGTGATCATCCGACATATGCCAGATTATATAGCCTGGGATCTTCAGATAATGAACTTCCAGCTGTGCAATTAAGTTTTTGTGAACACAGGTGATACAAAAGGTTCCTCTTTATGTAATTAAAATTATTGTGTCAATTTAATATTTGTTAAAGAAAAACAATGCAATAATAAGGCCTGCGGGATTTTAAAAATGTTGTGAGTTTTTGGAGTGTAATTAAGATCCACTTTAAAGACGCATTTTTTATTGTCAATATTGTCAGCCATTTAAATATTCTTTTTAGTCGCAGCGTCCAATGCGCGGTTCGTTCACATAGGCTGCAAATACAAATATTAATATGATTTAGTATTGTTAAATAAAATAAACCCACCTTGAGCATTACGACAGGCGTACATATCCAGTCCGCAGCGACTTCCGAATGCCATGTCCCGCCCACCAGTAGTTCCATTGCTGTGGGTATAGGGAAACCAAGCACAGACTGGAGGTCCGCCCCGAGAACACCACCTTGGGCAGTATGGTTCCTGCATGCACTCCTCCTTTGAAGTGGCTACCATGGCTAAGAGGATAATAATTTTCGAATCCTTAAAAAATGTATTAGATTTAATAAATCCACAACTTACGTGGCAAGCATTGATTGACCCTCATGCAGTTTTCATTCCCAAAGATACAGCCGTTCTGGAAAACTCGACAAACCCGATCTACTATTGCCCAGACCAGATCCTTATAGTAGGGACTGCATCTTGCACGTAACATACACGTATTCGAACAGTCCGTGGTTTGGGCTTCATTCAGGTGAAAAAATCCACACAATAAAACGAATAATATCGAGAGCTTAACGTTCATGTTGGAAAAGAGGAATACAGGTGACTGAAACTCTTTCCGCAGTACTCTTATATATTTATAAAGATTAACTCATCGCAGCCAAGTGTTTTGAACTCGATCTTCAACAATTAAATCAATGTATAAACAGCTGGAAAATATTTGTATATTAAACCGACTGTTAGATTAAACAAAAAACAAAAGAAAAACCAATATGAATTAGGTATAAATAAATAAATAGTATTACTTAACTTGCGACAACGGTTTTTTACTGTTAAAACTTGGCCAGTTCGACATTTTACTAGAATATCAAAAAGAAAGGCTTGCGTTTCTATTATTAATAATAGGAACGAAAGACTTAAAAGCGAAAGTAATCCGACGTGCATTTCCTTTCGAAAGTACAACAACTAACTAGTTCTGATTTTGAAGTTTCATTACCGACCTTTAAACTAAAATTTTCCACCAAATTAAATGGACTTTAAAACAAAAACCATGACTGACATCAATTGGTCACTTTTCTGGTGCAAAATTTAAATCTATAGGAGAGGATCATCTTCATTGATCGCATTACTCGTCTTGATTTTTTGAAAGTCATTGCCTCAGCAAGTTTCCGGTTTTGGCTTTCAATTCGAAAGTAAAATCTACGCACGCGCAATTTTTCGCTTTTTGATTGACTTTGTCTCGGGAAGGTGTATTAATTCGGGTAAAAAAAAAAGCAGCAAGCAAATGTTTGAACCCCTTAAGTAATAAATCTTTGGCTCTGTCAGCTTGGCGACACCGCGTGCGTATCTCGTTGGCCAACTTCAACGCCCACCCGTTGGCCAGCTTTTTTTCGTTTTGGCCCGGTCCGGCCGAAAAGACATGACAGTCGACAGGTCGCAGCCAAGTGAATGGGAGCTCTGAGTGTTGGGAGCACAGAGCGCCTGGCAATATTTTCGCCCCATTTTGGCACTGAGAAATTTGTTTTGAAAGATTAAACAAAAAATTAAAAATAGAAGAAACAATAAATTAACAAAACAAGAATTATAAACAAAATTTTACAAAATAAAAGTATTTGTTGATTATATTTATTAATTATCCACTCAAAAAAAATCCATATTGTTTAAAATAGTTGTTTGTTTGAATTTAATTTAATTTATTGCAGTATTGGTATCTCATGGAATTAGCTTTAATACAGAAACTCGCTTTTTATTCTTAAACCCCTTCTGGAAGTCCACTCTGTACGTGCGAAAAGTTTTCCGATTAAAAAGCCGATATACACATCTGCCTGTCTTCAATCGACATGGGTCATTGGAGTTATTGAAACCCTTCAAAACACGAACGTTTCTTTTATTTTTAAGACCATGCCTAAAGGCCACTTTGATGGGTCTTCCCGTTTTGCGATCTTCCAGTAGAAATACAACATTATGGCGCTTTTTTTCACCCGATCTCTTCGGCACGACATAGTACTTCTTCTTTGGATACAGATATGGATAGCACTTTTTACATGATGTTTTTTGTGTTTTCGGCTGAGTTCTGGGATTGGTTGCCTCATTATCTACATTATCACTAATGGACTGGCCGAGTGTCAGACTCATGACCGCCAAGAGCATCCACACCCACACAGCAGGCATGACCGACTTTCAATTGGAGCTGCTTTGATCTCTTTAGGAAGTTCAAGTGGCGGTCGAAGCGAATCGATTTGTGAGGGAAAATGATCGCTGTAAATTGAAATTCAAACATATAATTGTTAACCCGACCAGCACGTTTTCCATTCGGACTTCACAACCATTTAGAGTGATCCAAGACTGAGTGAAGGCTGCGGCGGTTAACCAGTTTTGCAATATGATCGGTGGGTGTGGAATTTTTTCGAACTGCATAGGCAATTGATCGGTGATGCCCCTAAAATGCTGTTGAACTGTAGTCGATTTTTATTTAGTTTTAATGGGCTTTCAACAGCTGTATTTTTTCAGAACCAGCTCATCTCTCTACCTATAAAAGCTCATCAGCTTGTCATTAATAAGTCAGAATTAATCTCGCATTTCACCGAAAATGAAGTCGTTTACTGCGATTTTCTTTCTGTATCTCATCTCAGTTCAGATTGAGGCACAAACGAGGCCAGATTGTCCTGAGTTTTGTCCTGCAGTTTATCAACCCGTTTGTGGAAAAGCCAAAGTAAGGGGACAATTAGTGCGATGTGAATTTGGCAATGGATGTGTAATGGGTGTCAGCGCCTGTCGTCGTAAAATAAGTGAGTAATGCATATTTTCCTATTTCTTTAACTCTTTTTAAGTTAATCTCTATCCTGTTTTTGATTGGTGCGAAATACCCTTGGAAAAGTGTAAGGATCCTTCTCCTAACTGCAGTGAATTACGCTAATCTATATTAAGTTCCACAAATAAACAATAACATTTTATGTACTCAGCTATGACGTAAATTTACTTACCAAACTGACGCTTATTCGCAAAAATTAAAAATATGGTTTGGCGACATTGTTGTTCTAGATAGAAATTTGTGTCTTGGAGATTTTTGTTTATGCTCTATTTATTTAAGACACATGACCTTGAAAATGAGATGTTGATGCTCTAACATCTCTGTTTAATAATCTTCAAACCATTGTACTAAATTTTATATTGATTCTTTACTTTCCGTGTAGAATATTCACTAATAATACAAAGACAGACGGACCTAATAGTTTCCAAGAATAGTGCTATTTAAAAAATAATTTTTCAGGATTAGTTATTAACTAGATGACTAATTCTCTGAGAACGGTGCATTCTTGGGTAAGGTCACTTTTTATTTATATGGCTTGGTTTCATTAACCGGCTTAAACCGATTTTTATTTCGATATTTCAAGACAAGGGTATGGTTGTGATCTAATTTTAGGTACAACTTCCATGTGATCCGCTTTGTACTCGTTGCTATTTACTTTTCTCTTACGCTTTTTAAGGAAATTCAAACATTCCCACAGCTGTTTTCCCCCAGTGACCTTGGCTAACAAATTTCGGAGAATGTGGGGTTCTATAAAACCCCTAACATCCGAATTGCGAGGGTTAGTATCTACTGAGCTCCCTCGCAAAAAATCTAAGAATGCGTTGCAGGATTCTAGTGTTGTGTGCATTAATTTGCCTTTTCGTTATTTTGACGGAGGCCAGACAAAGGAAAGCCAATCGTTCCGGATCAAGATCCTTGGCGGCCAGGTATCAGCGAAGTAATGTGCGTCATCAGACTGGAAACAGACTGGCTGTCAGGTCTAGGAATCTTAAAAAACGCGGACTTAATTCGGCCAAGAAGAACAGGAGGCGTCGCAATTTGGCCAGGAAAAACCGGAGGCAACGCAATTTGGCCAAACGTGAAACCAAGGCCAAGTCGAGTAGCAGCAGTGGTTCGAGTTTTGCCTCTCTACCACTGGATTTCGAACAGAATTTCGTGCGAACCACCGACAATTTGCGATCCGAAAGGGTATTTTTGGCAGCTCGTTATGGTTTTAGTTTTGCCAAGACTTCTGGATCGACAATCCTGAAAAACACAGCGAATATGGAGTACACCTGCAAGCTGAACATTGGCACACCGAAGCAAAAGTTCAGAGTACTACCGGATACGGGCAGTTCGAATCTTTGGGTGACGGGACCTCATTGTAAGAGCGAGGCCTGCCGGAAGCACGAGCGTTACTATCCCAAAAAGTCCAGTACCTTTGTAAAGAACGGAACGAAATTTGCAATTCAATATGGTGATGGAGCACTGTCAGGTGTTCTGGCCGAAGACATTGTGAGAATTGCTGGACTGGCAGCCCCCAATCAGACCTTTGCTATCTCCACCAAGGAACCGGGAGATACCTTTGAAGCAGCCAATTTCGATGGAATACTGGGTATGGGCTTTCGGTCCATCGCCGTGGACAATGTGCAGCCCCTTGTGCAGAACATGTGCGCCCAGAAAGTGATCACCAGCTGTAAGTTTGCCATTTGCATGAAGGGCGGTGGCAGTTCGTCGCGCGGTGGAGCTCTGTTCTTCGGGAACACCAGTACCAAGGCTTACAGTGGCTCGAATAGCTATACGTACACGCCGGTAACCAAGAAGGGATACTGGCAATTCAACCTTCAGAATATCTACGTGGGCGACACCAAAGTGAGTGGCTCGGTGCAGGCGATTGTGGATTCCGGAACCTCCCTGATCACCGCCCCAACGGCAATCTACAATAAGATCAACAAGATCCTCGGTTGCACTGAGACATCCAGCGGAGAGTGCTATATGAAGTGCTCAACGGAAGTGAAAGAATTCAAATTTGGCATCGCGGGCAAGGAGTTTGTCATTCCGGGCAAGAAGATGATGGTGAAGGTGAAGACCAGCAAGGGCAAGACCATTTGCATATCGGCGGTCCAGAAAGTGCAGGGCGAACCGGTGATCCTGGGCGATGCCTTCATCAGGCATTTCTGCACCATCTTCGATTTGGCCAACAGTCGCATTGGTTTCGCTGCCACTACGTATTCTACCTAGGTCTCTGTTTTAATTTTAAATGTATTTGTATTGCTGATCTCAAATAGAGGATCATCATCTAAATATTTCTGAATTAGTTTTTCAAATTTGTACAAAGATGAAAATAAATATTACTTTTAAAATAAATATGTGTAATGTAACTGATTTAACAGCTTTATAAGTTCCAAATGTAAACAGCTAACAAGCGGATCCATTAAAAATCTTTGATTTACCTGCCTAATTAACCCAAACAGCTGCTAATTTACATAAGCAATATGTCGATGGAAGTGAAAAAATCGGAGAGGTATTATTTTCAGTTCTCTAAGTAAACTCATCGAAGATGCTTCGAGTTTTAGTTTTTTTACTTGCGGCTTCATGTTTTACCTTTGCCACTGGAAAAGTACTAAAAGTGCCGCTTTATGTGAGGCAAAAACTCAATAGAAGTGAGCTATTCTTCGCCTCAAATTCAACCCAAGGAGGAGAGACACTTAAACTTCCGCTGCAGACTCGCACAAATCTGGAATATTATGGGACCATTTCCATGGGAACTCCGAGGCAGAACTTTAGTGTGATCTTCGACACGGGATCTTCCAACACTTGGTTGCCCTCTATCAATTGCCCGAAAAGTAATTTTGCCTGCCAGAACCACCGGAAATATAACTCTTCGAGGTCCAGAAGTTATAAGCCAGATGGACGTAACTTCACCATGCGATATGGATCTGGCAGAGTGGTGGGATATCTATCGAAGGACACCATGCACTTGGCTGGAGCTGATTTAACCGATCTGACCTTCGGAGAAAGCCTCTTCCTGCAACACTTTGCCTTTAGTTCCGTGAGATTTGATGGACTGGTCGGCTTGGGCCTGGGATCTTTAGCCTGGCCCAATACAACACCATTTCTGGAACTTCTATGTGCGAATCGTTTAATTGAGAAGTGCATATTTTCGGTTTACTTCGGTCGAAAGGGTGGAGAGATACTCTTCGGTGGCTTCGATAGATCCAAATTTGAGGGAAAACTACATTATGTGCCGATTAGCCAATGGGATTCTTGGAATCTGGAAGTAACCAAAACAACGGTGGGAACGAAACAAATTGGTGGAATAAGCAATGCCATTTTGGATACGGGAACTTCGCTGGTTTTAATGCCCCAAGATACGTACAATAATCTGCTAAAAGTCCTATCAGCTAAAGTAGAAAATGGCTATAGTATTCTGTCTTGTGAGAGGAAGTCGCTGCCCAATATCAATATTCTCATCGGGGGCAAGGTATTTCCCCTAACATCCAGCGATTATCTGATGGAGTTGACACTTGATCGTAAAAAGCTCTGTGTACTGGCCATTGCTCCCATTAACAGGGGATTTTGGGTGCTGGGGGATATCTTTCTGGGCCGATATTATACGGTTTATGATGCCACTGAGAAGAGAATTGGACTGGCCAAGGCGGTGCGAAGGGGTGGATAAAAATAAACAGTAGTCGGAATACAGTATGTACCTAAATATAACGAACCAATTAGGGAATGCTTAAAAATGTTATGTTATTAAACTATGTATATAATTGTTAATTTAATAAACAAAAGTAATATTTTCAAATCATCTTGGTAAAATTACTACTGATATGATTGTCTGTCTACATAATTTCTAATTCTACTTTGCAATTTCGCTGGAGAAGTTTCCAGTCCGTTATGGTTTTTTTCTAAAGTATACTCAGTATATAAGTATGTATATAGCCCACTGTTCGCACAATTTAATTTGTTAATTGCCAATTGCTTTGTTTATTCAATTAAATGTACTCGCCCTATTTATCTCTATTTACGCAAACATTGAAGTGCGTTCAAGCACCGCATTAGCCAATTCCATTTGAATGCCAGACGAATTTGGCCATTAAAATGCTCCATTTGCAGGTGCTATAAAACAATCGGGGCCAGAATCTCTGCCAATTAGTTCGAAGGGAATTTACAAACGGTTCGGATCGGTTTTATTTCGATTTCGGTTGGTCAGCGATGCACTGGCTCTTTGGGCTGCTTTTGTCCCTGTGGATCTTGTGCCTGTTTTGGCCAGAATCCCAGGGCCAACTGATCCGCATTCCCATGCAATACCAGGCCTCTTTCATGGCCAGTCGTCGTCAACATCGCGCGGGGCGATCTTCGCTGTTGGCCAAATACAATGTGGTCGGTGGACCGCAGATTTCATCTAGAAATGGAGCCACGGAAACATTGGATAATCGATTGAATCTGGAGTACGCGGGACCCATCAGCATTGGATCGCCGGGTCAGCCCTTCAATATGCTGTTCGATACGGGATCCGCCAATCTCTGGGTGCCCAGTGCCGATTGTTCCTCGAAGAATTTGGCCTGTCAGCATCATCATCGCTACAACTCCAGTGCCTCGAGCAGTTATGTTCCCGATGGTCGTCGGTTTGCCATAGCCTACGGAACGGGGAGTTTATCGGGCAGATTGGCCCAGGATACGGTGGCCATTGGCCAGCTGGTGGTGCGGAATCAGACTTTTGGCATGGCCATGCATGAGCCGGGCTCAACCTTTGTGGATACCAACTTTGCTGGGATCGTGGGACTGGGTTTTCGAGAGATAGCTGAGGGGAGAATCAAACCGTTGTTCGAAAGCATGTGCGATCAGCAGTTGGTGGACGAGTGCGTATTCTCGTTTTACCTCAAACGAAATGGCAGTGAGCGGATGGGTGGTGAGCTACTTTTCGGTGGTGTGGATAAGGCCAAGTTCTTGGGATCCCTAACCTATGTGCCGCTCAGCCATGCAGGATATTGGCAGTTCCCCCTGGATGGCATAGAACTGGGCGGCAGGATAATCAGCCAGAATCGACAGGCCATTGCGGATACGGGCACATCTCTATTGGCTGCTCCGCCCAGGGAATATCTCATAATAAATAGCCTACTCGGCGGCCTGCCCACTTCGAATAATGAATATCTGCTCAACTGTTCGGAGATCGATAAATTGCCCGAAATAGTGTTCATCATTGGGGGTCAGCGATTTGCCCTCCAGCCCAGGGATTATGTAATGAGTGCGGCCAACGATGATGGTTCGGTGATATGTCTGTCCGCCTTTACCCTCATGGATGCGGAGTTTTGGATTCTGGGAGACGTGTTCATCGGGCGTTATTACACCGCCTTTGATGTGGGCCATCGGCGGATTGGATTCGCCCCAGCAGCCTAAAAATCGCTTAGTTTCGTTTTATTTCGTTACCGATAAGCATCAAACATCTGTTCTATTTTATGACAAAACTTGGACATAAAACGTGGCCGGAGAGAAATCACGAGAGTTGGTTACACAGAGAAAATAGCGATTGAAACCCGTTTGTGGAAAAAAACAGCTGACCGACTCACGTTCAGGTTAGGCGAGTCCATCGAATATATTATATTTAAATTACCTAAGCAATTCCCTGACAAGCTGGGTATATGTGCTTTTGTTAAACTCGAATTTAATTAGATAATAAGTGTAAAACGCCTTTTTTTTGTAGAAAATTTCATTGAAAAATTGTATGAGAAAAACTACAAAAAATTATAAAAGTGTTATGATTGATGGCCTTTTTTAGGTTTCTCTGACTTTAGAATATATTTTGAATGAGAATCCGGTGTATTTTGATAATATCTAGTGTGGGTATTTCCCTGGCTATCATTTGGAAATCGACAAATATGTGTGAATTAGCTAAAACAACAATATAAAAAAGTCCCCATCGGCAGGTTTATGACGTTTTTGCATATATAGACATTGATTAAGACCTTACAGACCCTAGAAACGCCCACTAACTGCGAATATAAAAGAGCAACACGCCATGCAGCTAGTCAGTTATAGAAAAGTATTCAATATGAAATCGGTACTTCTGTGTCTGCTATTGGGTCTGGCTTTAAGCCAAGTTAGTGGTAGCTGCCCGGAAACCTGTCCCGATACGGAGGATGTCGTTTGGGCTCTTGGAGGCGGATGCAATGTTTTCCGCAATAAGTGTCATTTCGACAAGGCGAACTGTCAGCCAGATTCAGGTTGGAAAAATTGTTTTAATACCTATTTGATTATTTTTCAACCAAGTTTTGTAGCTTTGACCATCACCACCAAGGAGGAGTGCCAGAAGCTATGTAACTTCGCTTGCCCAGCGGTATACGATCCTGTAGGTGGTATTTACAAGGGTGAATTAAGACGCTTTGGTAATCAGTGTGAAAAGAATGTTCACATCTGTCAGACTGGCGAAAGTAAGTGCAAAATACATTTTCATAAGAACTAATTTTATCATAAATATTTTATATATACAGCGTTCTTGGACTAATCGAAAAATGCAAACCCTTAAACGATTATGCAAATAAAAGGATTTATTAAAATAAAAAGAAACTATTTTTACTTGGCCAAAATAAGATACAATCTTAAAAACAAAAAAAATAGGTAGCAGATGTGCGATCAGTGACATTTAAAACAATACGGTTAATTATTTAAATTATAAACACAAAAAACCCCCGCATCTGGTGTTAATTTTCGTATAACTTAAGATCGATAAAAATTTCCGAAGTGAGGCTTTTTTCCAACAGATATAAAAGACGTGCAAAATAAATAGTTGTCAGTTCATTCGTAAACTTATCTGTTGGCAAAAGTTGTTCATTATGAAATTGCTTCTGCTTACTTGCCTTCTGCTGGTCGTGGCTCTAAGCCAAGTTAGTGCTAGTTGCCCGGAAAACTGTCCCGATACAGAGGATGTAGTTTGGGCTCTTGGAGGCGGATGCAATGTTTTCCGCAATAAGTGCTATTTCGACAAGGAGAACTGTCAGAGGGATTCAGGTGGGAGGATTATCCTTAATACGTATTTGTTGATTATTCAAGCATTTTTTTAGCTTTGACCATTACGACCAAGGAGGAGTGCCAGAAGTTTTGCGGCAACGCATGCATTCAGATTTACCAGCCTGTAGGTGGTATTTATAAGGGTCAGGAGCGAAGCTTTGGCAATGAGTGCGAAAAGCGTGAACACACCTGCCAGACTGGCGAAAGTAAGTATATTCGCAGATCATATTTTTTAAAATAAAGTTTTTTATCATATATTTTTGATGTCTACAGCCTTTGTATAGTCCTCAAAATGATGATCGAAATCTTAACAATTCTGGGAATTAAATGAATTACTAAAATGCTGATGTAACAAATAAAATGTTGTCTATTTAATTTAAAATTTAAGTTTGGGACATAAGGGTTAATTTTAGGTTAATTATTCAAATTTAAACGCAACGTGAGAATATATTTTCCTCCAATAAATTAATAAAAATTCTTTAAAATAACAATAAATAAGTAACACGTGGGCGATCACTGCCATATTCAATAACAATTAATTATTTAAATTAATAACGCAAAAAATCCCCCACATCTGGCGTTTTTTGTTTGCATAACTTAAGATCAATAAATATTTCCAAAGACGGGCCCCTTTCCAGCAGATATAAAAGAGGGTCAAAATAAATATTGGGCCAGTTCATCTATTAACTTAACTGCTAGCAGAAATTTGATCAATATGAAATTGTTCCTCTACATTTGCCTTCTGCTGGTTTTGGCTTTAAGCCAAGTTAGTGCCAACTGCTCAGGAAAGTGTCCCGATAAGGAGGATGTGGTTTGGGCTCTTGGAGGCGGATGCAGCGTTTTTCGCAATAAATGCTATTTCGACAAGGAAAACTGCACACGAAGGCCAGGTTAGTCAGGTTTATTGTTTTCATACTTAAATTAATATCTATTAACGGATTATGAAAAACCGATAATAGCGTTGACCATAACAACCAAGAGGGAGTGCCAGAAGCATTGTGCCGACGCCTGTCCCGCGATCTACCAACCCACAAGTGGAACTTACAGGGGCAAAGTCCGAAACTTCGGTAATGAGTGCGAAAAGCGTGCTCACACCTGTCGCACCGGAGAGAGTAAGTAAAACTAAACTAAAACTAATAAACTATTTACTTATACCTTTTCACACTTTACAGCTTTTTTGTGAACCAAAATAAACAATTTTGAACGTGAATGCAAATAAATTAATGTTCCAACTTACATTTACAATTAGTTTTCTATTCAATGAGGCTCATCCGTATTCATAGTTTTAAAAAAGAAATTATAATCAAGTTTGAAAAATAAATAATAAGCCAGCAAAATACATAAACAGCCACTCGATTCAGGTAGAGGTCTGCCGAGCCCACTGAATAATTTAACAATACTCAGTCCAGAAGAAGGTATACTGGGTTCGTTTATGGTAAGAGCGTTAGAATTTATAATTTAACTATTAAGTAAAAAAACAATAATTGTGTATAACTGCAGTCATAGATCAGATAGAATTAGACAAATTAGTGCATATACCTTTTAAAACGGTATTCAGCTAATTAAAGTGAACAATAGAGTAATTTATAGGCGATCACTGCCTCGAATACGATGTGCAAATTAGATAAAACAATAATACGCGGAAAAAATCCCCCACATCTGGTGAGCATGTGACGTTTTAGATTTATAAAAGACTTCATTGCCCCCTCGGCAACCGATATAAAAGAGAATCAAGCAAAATAAATGTTCAGTTCATCCGCAAACTCAGCCCGAAGCAGAAAGCTATTCATTATGAAATTGACTATCTCCCCTTGCATTTTAATGAGCCTGGCTCTGAGCCAAGTTAGTGCGAACTGCACTGGAGATTGTCCCGATACGGAGGATGTTGTTTGGGCCCTGGGAGGCAGTTGCAGGGTTTTTCGCAATAAATGCTTTTTCGACAAAGAGAACTGCGTTCGAAGGCCAGGTGAGAAATGGTTGATTGATTAATGTGAATTAAATATATGTTAAAATATCCCTATTTAATAGCATTGACAATCACAACTAGAGAGAAGTGCCAAGAGCAATGTGCCGACATTTGCCCCGCTGTCTACCAACCAACAAGTGGAACGTACAAGGGTCAAGTTCGTAATTTTGGAAATGAGTGCGAAAAGCAGGCCCACACTTGTCGGACTGGCGAAAGTAAGTGCTATTAGAAATGAGTAACCCTTTTATCTAATGTTCTGTATTTAACTTTTACAGCATTTTTGTAACTCACTCAGCGAAAAAATAAAAATGATAAGTGATTTATCTGTAACGCCATAAGCTATTGTTTATTTATTAAAAGATAAATTAGGTTAAATGGAACAGAACATAATATATTTTTATTTAATTAAAGCTATTATTTTTTGCGAGACTACTAACCTGCTGGATTTAAAGAACTATACACCTTGCGTGTGGCCAAACTCATTTGTCATCGGGGAGTATCCATAGAACAATAGAATAAGAACCGACATCTGGCACACTGCCAATATTTATTTGCCCAACTCTATAACCCTATATAAGCTCATCATAAAGTGAAATAAATTTAGTTGCAAGACTAGTTCCATTGCCAATACATCGAACCTGTTCGCAATGAAATCCTATATTGCGCTGTGCTTGATTTTCAGCCTAGTGTTGATTCATGCCAATGAAGATTGTCCAGATACGGAGGATATTGTATGGGCTCTCGGTGGCGGATGCCACGTATTTCGAAATAATTGCTTCTTTACTAAGGCAAATGTGCTCCGTAAACCAGGTAAGAATTGATTTCAAAATTTGTCGTGGTTTTCGAAATTACTAATCTCGTTTTTAAAGAACTCACCATCACCACCAAGGAGGAGTGCCAGAAGGAATGCCCTAAGATCTGTCCTGCAATTTATTCTCCTACCATGGGCACTTATAAGGGAGAGGTTCGCGAGTTTTCCAATAAGTGTGTCAAACAGGCTCATAACTGTCGGACTGGCGAGAGTAAGTGTCAATAATTAAATTAATTTGGACAAATTCATAGAGTAATTGTTTAATGCCTTGCAGCGTATGTGTAAACTGACGCGGCTACCTAATATCTGGACATTAGTCTATCAATCTGTTTACTAATAAAAGCTGAATAAAATAAACTTTGTATGCACAGTTCAAAATGTACCTAATTTACTAGAAATTAATAAGTTAGAAGCAGTACTTACCTAACTTATTCACTTAATTTGTATTATTATTTCACTTTAATACAAAAATACAACTTTAATTAGTGTACAAATATCTGCGAGGTTCAGACCAGTTTTAACGGATTTTCAGTACTTATGTCAGGTAATTTTGCAAAAGGTTTTGCATATGTTCATTATACAAACTTGTAAATAATATTTCCAACTTTTATTTTGTTGCTTCGTATTTTAGATATAAATATACATAGCTTGTAATGATGAACTTGTCTGTTATGTTATCGAAGTACGCAGAAGTTTTTTAAAAATGTACTAGAACCATTTGGGAATTTTAGTCCCTTAGTAAACCACTTTAGAGTTTAGAATTCTAATTACGGAGTTAATTGCACATTTTCGGTACAATGTTATCATAAATCAGACATTTTATTCTTTATTTTAGATTATACTTTTTGGGTTTGTACTAAATAGAAATCCAGTTTTGAAGAATGCTTTTGTAAACAAGCCTATGGGTTCGGTAAACTCGGATTGACACACTTGAGGGTTTAGAGTTCAGAGCTCTAGGTACTGCGAATAACTGGATTAATGGAACGCTCAAGTTGAACGTTCCTGGCCTGCATATACCATATATGTAGCTTGAGATTTATGGCTTGCGTTAGTATATTTATATTTTTTAATTAGCCGCTTACCAGTGATGCCATTGCAGTGCTTATCTTTTAATTAATTTCTAATTAAAATGGGTTTCTTGTTAAGTTTAAAATGTTGGACTCGGCTTCTACTGCGCCGAATGTGGGTATAAAACCGTAAAGTTTCCTGTGAAGTGGCATCAGTTGGCTTCCGAGTACGAAGCAAATATTTCTTAGTAAAGGAAGCATGGCCCTGCGTTTCATTGTTGCATTCAGTGCTTGGTTGGTCCTGGCCCAAGGATCATTCCTACACGGATCTCTGAATGAAGCCCACCAATCAGACATTGTTGGTGCTGAAGCGGAGGTTCCCCAGGAAGGATATTTGCCTGCTGAGGATGCCGTTGAGCCCCATTCCCATCACCACCAGGAGTCGCACCACCTCATCCACGGCGCTCACAATCACCATTATCACCACGAGTTCCCACATCACCATCATCACTTGGAGGGCCCACACCACGGAGTACATGGATCCCATCATCATGGAGTTCACCACGTGCATCATCATCGCAACTGCCATGCGACCATCCATTGTCCCAGGACCCACAGTCCGACTTATGCCACCGATGGACATCTCTGCTATCATGTGGAAAACTCCTGTGAACTTGCAATTTTGAACTGCCTGCGCCGCAATGAACTGAAGCCACGTTAGTTTTGACATATCCGAAGACAGAACCAAATATATTAATATTCTTTTTTTGCAGTCCTGAGACACATCAGTGGGCACGAATGCCATCATCTGCCCAGCGCTCGCAGATCCCACTAAACCTTAAATATGTACTGAACATAACTGAAGCTCTGACCATACTTACCCCCTAACCTGATTTTTCTTTAATTCCTTACCTATCGCAAATAAATAAATGTCAATTGAAAATATGTGGATTTCGTTTATCTAAATTTGGTAATCGGTGGATTTTTTTAAAGTTTTGGAAAATGGGCAATAAAAATGTGTAGGAGAAATTAAGTTTAACACTTCCAATTTGTAATTTTAATTTTATACAAACACAGCTCCATTAGCTTTATTAACCTTACAAATAAAGAATTTTTTCATTATTATAATTTCTTATGTATTCTGTAGACACAATAATATCATATTAATAAGAATTGCAATTTTAATAAAATAAACAGCTTATTATTTTATGGAAGGGGAAAAACTATGTATTTAAGTAAGCCAAAACGCTGGTAGCAGAATGAGCTCATACTGACAATAAATAGATCCATTAATGATTTTATTGGCAGCACTGGCCCTAAGATTCGGTTTCTCGCCCGCATATTAAACTAACAGTAGGATTTATAAGAGTGATGCAATTTCGATGGTCATGCGTACCGGCTCTTAAAAAAATTTTAAAGGAACACAAAATACATAAGTTCCAACAATTTTATGTAAGACTCAAGAATCGTGCATCTTTAAAAAACTTGTAAGGTTTAGTACAAGACTAATATTCGAACAAAATATTGTATTTAATTTAAGAATAATATTATAAAATACAATTTTATTTCAGTTAATAATAATTTCTAACTTATTAAAAAAAAAAAAAAGGTAAACAATTTGAAAAAAAGTATTTTAAATAGAAAGGAATTAAAACCTTGCATGCGAATTATATAAATTGGCTCTTATCCAAATCTTGGATCAGTAAAAAGTCCAAAGCAAAGTAAATGCAATAAACTGGGTCAAATTTTAATTTTGCTTAGAATAAATGACATCACTCTCTTCCAGTAATTACTGTAAAATGATGAATTACATTCTTTGGTAATTTAGGCTTTGTATGAGTTTCTCCAGTATAAAAGTGCCAAGTTTTTAGCAGAAAGCATCAGTTGATTCACCAGCAGTCATCCCAAATAACCAAAGCAAAATGGCAGTCCGTTTCATTGTTTTCTTCAGCGCCATTATCGTCCTGGCTCAAGGATCGAATATTCTGCCCATCGAAGAGGAGTCGGAGGTGGCTGTCCACTCTGGAGTCGTTTCGCCTGGAGCTCCTGTGGCCATCGTTTCGCAAGGACATCCATCTGTGCACCAGCCCATTGCTCCAGTCTACGGTCACGGCTCACTCCCAGCTCCAGTGGCAGTTGGAGGAGCTCCTCGCGGAATCGGATCAGGATTGGCTGGCCCTCGTGCTTATGGCCCTCGTCCTGCTGTGTCCTACGGTCGTCCTGCCGCCGTGGTCGTTCCCGCTGTTGTGGTTGCCCCAGTGGCTCCCATTCGCCAGCCTCATGGAGTGGCTGCCCCTGTTCTTGTGGGAGCTGGTCATGGAAACGTGCACGGTCGCCATCACGGCTAAGAACCGTTCCAAGTCGAGGGCTTGAGAGATTTGGAAACCAGCTTGACACACATTTTACATACCCAATCAAAGCAATAGGGCATTAACAAATACATGTTTATAATAGTATCAACAATAAAAAATATTTCATCAAAATAAACAATTTTATTCGTGGGGCTAATAAAGGGGTTTAACTAGATCTTCAAATACAAGGTGGTTTATCTGCGGTCGGCACACACATACGTTGACATTTTGTTTTATATTTCTGTGAGTAATTGGCACTGGGCAGCTCATCGATGTGTGTGTGCAGAACGCTGTGCTACGTTATACGTGTGCGAGCAGCGCGCCGGCAGAACAAAACCCTATGCTCACTTAATAGGGCGCTGCCGACCGCTGGTTTATATAAATTAAAAAATAAATACAAAATTAAGATTTAGATAGAAGGGAAAATTATTTTACCTTCTTGTGTGTTACACCAAAAATATATGTATGAGCAGTCCAAAATGTGATGGGGATTGGCTGATGTTGTTGTCTGTACAAGACAGTCGTTCTTTTGTATAGACGCAATGTTTTTACGAAGTTACAATTATAAAATCCCTTAAAAGGGAATATTAAAAATTTAATATATATTTACTGTTTCAAAAGATTTAGTATTTGGGCTAGCATTTTGCAAAAAAGGTCAGAATATGGAATGTCCTATTTTGCTGAGCTCAATGGATTGATATTAAAAACTTAAAATTTAACTTTTTCCATTTTGTAACGATGTAACTTTAAATAAAATAAGGAATTTGGGAAATAAAAGTATTTTCCAGAAAATTATGCTAACGATCGATAGCTTAAATTGTGTGTTAATTTTTTTGCGAATGGTATACTTGGGAATCGAAATTAAACTTTAAAAATAAATACAAAGGGTAATGAAGATTAGAAAAAAATAAACGTAAAAAAAAGTAAGTAAGTACATAAAATATTTTTAAAGCTTTTGAGTTCAAGAAACATTAGTTGACCGGCGTTTGAGTTCAAAGTGCAAATTACTTAAGAAAGCTTAAGGTCAGTGAGTCACTCATGAAACCATCTTTATGAGGGTAATTAATTTCAAATAAATAATTACGTTCTTATACTGCCCTGATTTTATGCGGTATTCTGAAGTATAAAAGATTTCCCTTTTCAATTGAATTCATCAGTTGTCTTACGAGCAATAATCACAAATAAGCACATCAAAATGGCATTCCGATTCATTTTTGTCTTCATTGCCACAATCGTCCTTGCCCAAGGATCGATTATTTCCCCAGTCGAGCAGGAGTCTCTTGTGGGAGTTCATCACTCTGGAGTGGTTTCATCCGGAGCTCCTGTTGTTGGTGTTCCTCGTGGCCATTCCGCTGCTCCTCAGCCCCAACGCCCCGTCTCTAGTCATGGATCCCTCTCTGGTCCAGTTGGAGGATCCCGTCGAGTGAGCGGAGCAGGAGTGTCCGGATCTCGTCCTCATGGTGGTGCTCCTCGTCGCCAGGCCGGTGGATCTTACAATCGTCCTGCTGCTGGCGCCCATGTAGGCCGTCCCATCGGAGGAGGAGCTGCCCACGGAAATGCTCACCAGAATCGCAATCGCAACCAGAAACCCTATTAGGAAACCGATAAAATGAATGCCCTAATGAGCTGGAGAAATTATTCTGAATAACCATTTTTCATTTTTATAAGCTCTACATTACTCTACAACTTATTTCCTCATAACTATCTTCTGCAAATAATAACAATTGTTATTTAAAATATGCGTATTATTATCAGGGTCGGAACTGGGGAAAGTTCCTTATTGCATAACAAAATTATACAATTTTATTCAAAAGCTTTATGTTACATCTAAAATTTACCTCGATGAATGTGATAAATTTTGAATTCGTTACGAATTCCCAAATTAAACTGCGTTCTCCAAAAAGATCCCCGACGCAAGGATTCTGAGAAACAGGACCTCAAAGTTTGAAAAATGCTACAAATTGCCAACTTTCCGTGGGAATTACAGGCAAACGGTTTCTTGGTTTGTTGCAGTGTTAAAGCGTTTTAAAAGTGCAACTCTTTGTCTTTTAAACCCTATATCGAAATAATTTTACGATTTTTATTAAGGGTGAAAAAAATAAAAGAAAACATAGCCATAAAACAAAAAAACAACAGCTGTTTTAAATTGTTTGTTGTTGTGTATGAATTGTGAATTAAATGTTTTTTCAACAAACTGAATAGTAACAAAAACTAAAAATACTTGGAATCAGATTGGATGACGTAGAAAACATTAACATTTTTGGTTAAATACAATATTAAGTATTTCTTATTACCATTATGTAAAATAAAAATTAAGTTTTGTCGAGAATATACAATTTTTGCTTTTGTTGCTGTTGTTTCAAAGAGCTAAATATTGTAAAGTAAAATAAATTAATAAAGAACTCAAAAAATAATAAACACTTTATTGTATTATTGTATATATAAATACATATATAAAGAAATATAACTTCTTATTTTCATCGCTTTTCAATAACTAACAAAATGTGTACAAAGGGATCTGTTCCATAATGTTAGGTTGAATTGTAATTCTCTGAAATGTAAACAATTATCTTCCCATCAAATAATAAGACCAATGAACTTAGCTTGACATCCGAACGAGTTCAGAGGCAAAAGTTCGTTGGAAGCTAAATCAAGATTTGTGTCACACGTGTCGTCACTCCCATTGCAGGTCTTATCTTTAAGAATATATAATGTGTTTTGGTATTTTGTGCTTAGACTGAGATTTTAAAGTGATTGAGTTCGACTATAAAAGCTTACATTTTCCAGGGTGAAAGTATCAGTTTACCCTGAGGCATTCATCGCAAATAACCAAATCAAAATGGCAGCCCGCTTCATTGTCGTCCTCAGCGCTCTAATCGTCCTTGCTCAAGGATCGAATATTTTGCCCCTTGAACAGGAGGCAGAGGTGCCAGTCCACTCTGGAGTCGTTTCGTCTGGAGCTCCTGTGGCCATCGTTTCGCAAGGACATCCATCTGTGCACCAGTCCCAACGTCCGATCTACAGCCATGGCCCAGTTTCGGCACCACTTGGAGGACCCCATCGACTGATCGGCTCCGGATTGGCTGGACCTCGTGCCTATGGAGGTGCTCCTCTTCATTCGGCCCCAGTATCCTACGTTCGTCCATCTACAGTGGTCGTTCCCGCTCCTCGGGTGGTGGTTTCTGCTCCTCGTGTCGTTGTTCCTGCTCCTCGAGTGGTGGTTGCTCAGCCTCATGGAGTGGCTGCCCCACTCGCTGTTGGATCTGGTCACGGCAATGGCCACCACATCCGTCATCACGGCCACTAAGATGTAAAATACGCTTCACCAATTTTCTTATCGACAATGCAACGAGAAATCCGAACAGAGCTCAACCAATTGATACAAAATAAAAAACCTTTATGTAACCCTTATTAAAGCAATAGCAATGAAATTAAAAGATTGTACACCCAAACATTGTTTAACCATTTAAATACTGCTACCAATAAATCAAATACTAAAACAATATACTTCTTTATATCCGGAAAAAGCATGTATCTTAACGACTTAGATATATGTACCACATCCATATTTAGTTTATTTGGGCAAAAAATAGGGATTTAATTTTTAATGTTTTATTTAATAAGTTAATATATTGATTTCAAATAAATAACAAAACTTATTCAAATATGTTCAAAACTCCGTAATGATTTTTTCATTTTATTTAATTTTTTATTTAATTAGTATAATTATTATTATTTTCAATAATTATTTAAAAGATTTTAGTATTAATCTTGTAAAAAGTTACAAGTTATAAAGTTACTAATAATAGTAACGCATAAGCTGTTTTCTTTTTTAATAATTAACTTTTCACAAATTCTTAAAATTATATTTTATTTGTGTGTAGCTTTAACAAGTGTATATAAATATGTATTTAATTAAATAAAATAAGCTAGGGAATAAATCATTTTGTTATGTCCGAAATTTTCCGTCGTTAACAGTAACTAAATCATGATGGCGATTTAATAAGGTTACTGAACTATGTACATATATATAAATTTTGAATTAAGAGAAACTGGATAAAAGTGGGATATCCAGAAAAATTTGATTTATTATAATTAAAAGTCAGTAATTACTATTTAAGTAATTAAATTCTTATTGTTAGGTTAATTCACTATTTGTTGCAGTCTTTATTTTCATTATGATATTTCTATAGCGTATAAAAGGAAACCCTTTTTCAAATTTACCATCAGTTGCCTAAGACACATCAATCACAGTTTCTTTTCAGTCCTGCACTTTAATAAATAAAAGCTAATATTGCAATGCGATTTGTTTTTGTGCTCGTTGTGATGTTCGTCCTGACGAAAGGATCCCACATATCTCCAGTGGAACCTGAATCCCCCGTGGAAGCTCATTCAGCCGGAGGTGTTTCTTCACAAGCTGCCGTTAGTTTCCCCGAAGTGCGACCAGCCCCAGGATCCCAGGCTCAATCACCAGCACCCCGTCCGGCTCCTCGACCAGTGGGAGCCCCTCGTCCTGCGGGAGCCCCTCGTCTTGTAGCTGCTCGTCGTCAGCTTGGATCACATTCCCGTCCTTCCGTTGTCGTCAACGTTGGACGTCCCATTGGCGGAGGATCTGGTCATGCCCAGAATCGCAATCGCATCCAGAAACCATACTAAATCCAATAGAAAACTGAAATTAAACGATTCCGGATAATAATATAAATAAATACAGCTTTTTGTCATTCAGAAATTTTCAAAAGACTTTTAATTTAACTTTATTTAAGTATCCAATAAGAGCGAGAAACCCAACTTGGTTTTTGACGTTTTTGGCCATATTTAAAAAATTTGTATACAAAATTATTTTTTCGGTTAAATCCTAATACTTGTGCTTACTTAAAAGAACGGCTTGTAAAAGAACGGCTCATATATTATTTAAAAGTCCTAAAATGGTTAAAGACTTTGCCAATTCACATTGAAAACTTACGGTCTAAGCTGGCAATATACTTTGGGCCAACTATTCAAGAAATGTTTAAAACATGAAGTGTACTCGGTTGGGTGCTTAACTTGTCGCTAACTCGTTAATTGGCACATTAACCAGTTCATCAAAGGTGCGATTGGTGTTAAGCTGTAGTGATACTGGCTAAACAATTGATTTGTTTTTGAGTTTAACACCCAATATATCAAGGAACCCAGCCATTAAAAAATAAACATTAATTGTGTTATTTATAACAATTGTTATTATTTGCAGGAGATGAAAATATGAAAATCATTTTAAGAAGCGAAAGAAATGGGGATAATATCGTTATTCTGCTGGTGTTGTATGGTGTTCCTAATAAGGTTTCTGGATGCGATTGCGATTTTGGTGAACATTTCCGTAGGCAGCTCCACCTCCAATTGGACGACCATGAGCGCCGGCAGAAGGACGACGAGGAGCACCACCATGAGGACGAGATCCGCCTACTCCTGCACCGCTCACTCGACGGGATCCTCCAACTGGACCAGAGAGGGAACCATGGCCAGAGATGGGGCGTTGAGGCTGAGATGCAGCGGAATGGCCACGTGAAACGCCAAGAACAGGAGCTCCAGCCACTCCAGAGTGATGCACTCCAAGCCCCGAATCCTGATGCACCGATGACAAATAAGATCCTTGGGCCAGGACAACCAGGGCACTGATCACGAAAATATAACGGAATGCCATTTTATTGCTGTTTCGGAATTTAAATTTTGATTGGTGCTGGACAATCGGGGAACAACTGATGCTTTCCTTCAAAAAAGTGAATACTTTTATATCAAAACCCTGAGCTCTCCAAAGAAAATCAAGAACGCAGTTAAACGTATTTTATTATATCAAAAAATATATAAAATAATCTTAATAATCACAATGATGTCATTAATTAACTTAAGTTAGATTTAATCTTAAGTTTCCACAAATGATCCAGTTTTTATAATTTCGGTGTTTAGCAATTAATGAATCACAGTTAAGCAGTTCATTTACCTGCCTAATACATTTCAAAAAAATATTGAATCTAAGTCAGAAGCGTAAATGCGTTTTGAAAGTTGACTAAATATACGATATCAAAGAAAACACATACATTTTTCTTGCAAGTACAGGCATATTTTACCATTTTATACTTTTTCGGACAACTCCTAAAGCAATTTATGCATAATACATGAATGGCTTGCTAACACAGAAGCCCCCTTTTCGCACAATTATGGCTTAGCTAACATTGCTGGCTACCATCGGCTTAATTGGCATATAGAAGACTTGATTAAGCTGGCCATTAGCCAGGCCAAAAAAGAGACACCCATCATCGTTGTTGGCAGGAAGTCGTGCATTTGCGAAAATAATTTTCAAAATATAGGCTTTTTCAAGTGATAGAGCGCAAAAATAATGGGTAACCTTGCCATATATAGCTCAGGGTCTGTTTATTATCCATAACAATGAAAGCAAATTAGGCTTATGATTGTCTAAGAAATCGCAAGTCCAATTGAGCTTTGATGGGCGGGCAATAATAATGAAAAAATGGTAAAAATGAATTGTCATCGTGGCAACATTTAATGAAATTACGTAAAAATCATTTGGCGATTTATACCATTTAGAAAGTAAGGCAAAGTGTGTGAACCAATTTGGGTGTATCACTCATATGTGAACAAGTTTACTTTCAATATAAAAAAGAATAACATTTTCGTTAAGTTTCTGTTAGTTCTTCAGTAATTTGCAATTAATTGAAACTCTACTCCAATGCAATCATGACTCATTCGCACCGTTGTCGCCAGCTGTGCGATTTGGGTGTTAACACTTTTTATTTACCTATTTTTCGTTTGTCAAGCTGACATGCAAGCGTTGCGGGTTTCCAGTTACTCGTTTTAATTTTAATTACATTTTTCGTATACAATTAGCTAACAAATCAATGCGAAACCGTTAGACAAAAAGAACAAATCGGATCAGAAAATAAAACAGACACAGAAAAATTGTATATCAACAATTGCTCAATCGATCCGATCAAATAACAAATAACTTTGTGCCGAATATTGACATTTCGTAAGCATTTGAAAAGTGAACGCGACAACAACAAACCTAAAAGCAGTGCGTTGGTAAAAATCTTGAACATGTTAAGAATGCTGGCAAGGTTGTCTGCCACGGCAGCTGCTGTCTTGTGGGCCTCCATCTCGGTCTCAGTCTCAGTCTCGATCCTCCGACTGCGTCTCAATCCGAGAGTCTAACTTAATTAAATTGGATTTTATGTGCCGGATTGGATCGGCCATTTGGGGCCCCGACGACCATGACGAGGTGAGGCTAATCAAATGGCCAAATTGTAGGCGCGCTTACCATTCGGCCACCAGTCAGCTACTCAGATAGGCAGCCAGCAGAGTAATGAGCTTTTTGTCGGCTACACGACTCTATTATGATGAACATGGCAATCGTCCAGCGATAAATATCAATTAAGACACCGTCAAATGGCTCAATGGCAGCAAGAAAAATGGTAAACTAATACCGCAGACATGCTAATGTTTTGCTCTACATTGGGGCTGTGCGTAAACAAAAATGTCACACGCCATTAAAAATTAATAGCATGTTTAAAAAGCAAAAAACCGAGTAAAAATAAATTCAAGCGAGATTAAATAGAGAAAAAAAGGAGTCAGCCGGACGACTAGAGGCAGTCAAACCGGGTTGATAATATGAAATTTCGGCATTTAATGCTCATGCGACAGCTTCAACCCCGAACAAAAATTGACTCAAATAAAAGAACAAAAACGTGGCACGAACAACTTTTCAAAAAATGCGTGGTACATTGTTAATACTGATCTTGTTATTTTTTCCCCTGCTGCTCCGGTCCAAAAATGTTGCACAATATTCGTGCGTTCATGCAAAGCAATTGTCAAATGCAACAAAGCCCAAAGCCAAAGGCCAAAAAATCGATATGGACTCGACTGTTTGCCAAAGCCAAAGATACAACAAATTTACCACAGGAAAACTCCATTCTGCGGTGCTTGGGCGAAATTAATATCGATTGCTCCGCATTTTGACGTTTTCTGGTTTACGGTTATTACCATTAAACTCCTTTGCATTACTTTATTGAATACTCCCTCCGCGTTTTGACTTATGCTGAAGGCTTGCCTGATTTGTATGTGCGGTTTGACAAATTAAATTAATTGGCTCGCACTGATATACCGCAGATTCGACGAGGCTCTAAGTGATTGGTCTGCCGAAGGTGCAGCTCGGTTTGGCAAATTGAATAAGTACGTGTAGAAAAAAGAAACGACTGCAGATTGAGATTTTATTTTTACATGGGCATTGAAGATCGCAGATAGCGGTGTAGGAGTTGTTTTGTGCCTCTAAGCCGTCACTAAATAATTACCAAGTCTTTGAAAGTGAAATGTGTGTTTACTGTGGGGAATTATTTGGTTGCACTCCGTTTAATGGACTTAAATTAAGATGTTAATGATAATTTAGAGGGAAAAAGTCGCTTTTTAAATGTAAATTTATCTAATTGTTTATTGTATCAAGAAAATACATTAATCCAGTTGTCAAAACAAATCATGAGTTCGACAACATTTTTCTAAACCTTGTCAGGCCTCGTAAATAAATTTTATTTATATTGCAATACAATTCAAGCCTTGAACTTTTGAAACTTTTTTTCTAAATATTGCAGTCGGCCGTAAATTGAATTTTGCATATTTTATTACATTTAATATAACTTAGGCAATCTATTTGCTTACCAATGACATTTTCAAATGTCATCATATAGATTGGAAGGCAAATAAAAAATGTTTCACAGCTTGAAAAAAAATTAATTTTAATAAACATTGATTACTGATTAAAATATACGATTTTTATTTTAATAAATATTCATAATCATCGCCCTTAATCCCCCATCAGGGGGGATCATTTTAAAATATAATGACTTCTTAAGCAAGATGTTAGTCTTAAAAAATTAAAAGATTTGAGAACTCTTCTCTTAAAACCTAAATGTTAATACACCTAAATTAATTACATTTATTTACTCTTAAAATCAAGAATAAGTAAAAATATTAATAAGTAAACTATAATAATGATAAATAATTACCCCAAGTGAGACACCAAAATCGAAAGACTTAAGACACGAACTGCGCTCTACCAAATCCACCACAGCAACGCTCCATTCACCTCACAACAAACCACACGCAGGGCAACTCGATTCCACTCAAACTCTCGCTCAGAAACGAGTCTTTCTCGGGGCGTCTGTGTATTTTCTGTTTTTTGCCGCTGCTGCCGCCGGCACTTGGCAGCTGATAACCGAAGTCGGCTGACTGCTATCGCTGCTCCCCAGACGCCGACGTCGACGGCGGGCCGGCTCCGTTGGTTAGCTTCTTTTTTGGCTTTTCTGTGGCAGCATCGGCTGGCGGAGCTCAGTTAATTGTTGGACACACTCCGTGGCGGTTGTGCAGCCGGAAGAAAAAAAAGAAATCGACTTTCGGGCTCTTTCGTGTGAGTGAGTGAGTGTGCAGGAAGCCAAGTGCATTGCAGAGAAGAAGTAAAAATTAGTGACAAAAGGGTGAAACGCGATAGTAAAAGCTACCCGCAGCCGTGACAAGTGCTCGATAATTGTCAGGTTCTGGCAGCAAAACGAAAGACTCAGGCAACGAACTCTGCGGTTATTAATTGAGGCCAACTTGGCGTGGGCCATCGTCTGCCATAATTGGATTAATTCACAGCTCTTGGGCTTTAAGTATTCGCTAACCAAATACAAGCAAAGGCCTGCCCATATACCACCTTATACTCAACGCATTTATAGAAGTCATTAACAACGACGGCCAACGGCCAAGTGGCAACGTGCAACGTCAACAAAATGATCTTAAGGTATGTTCGCTGGCTATTTTTTAATGAGCCGCACTCTTAGTTTTGGTACACATTTTTCCAGTTAATTTCCTGTGTGTGGCAAGTGTTCGCCTAGGCGTCTCTGAAATGTCTAGACCAAGTTGGTGACTGGTTCTAGCCATATTCCTGCTCATTTTTATGTAATTTTTACGTGTCTGACGCTGGCCGATGACAACTTTCTGTAAACATTTCTCCGACATTCCCGTTCTGTTCTTCTCTGTTCTTTTCTTTATTTTATTATTCTCTGTGTTTGTGTTAGCTGGAAAGTTCTGAGTCGCTGGCACAGAAAGTTTTCGTTCGCTATGTGCGGCATTCTTGTGATTTTCGACGAGTGATTAAACGGCATTGCGCCATATATGTGTTTTGATTATTTCATTTATATTCAGGCCAACCTCTGCACCGAGTTGGTTGGCTTTTTGCTTGTCTAACAACTTCCCATGCTAATGGCTTCCTGCCACTTTCTATCTGGCCATAGCCACGAGCCATCCCCAGCTCGTAATGATGAACAAATCAGCGCCTGGAGCAACGGAATTAATGAGCGTATAGGTCACGCTCTTGGCCATCTCAGCTTCCGACGAAAAGCCGAAAATCACACCTCCGATGCGGGCTTAAAATAGAGCTCAGCGGGAGTTTTCGGTTTCAATTTAAATAGCAATTAGGCGTAAGATAAGATATTGGGCGCCAGCTGAGGTTTTAAAAGGCGGAGAAAAACGGTTCATTATTTTTAGATCGTTAAAAATAGTTTTAAATGGCATTTTCATATTTTCATAACTTATATTTTCACATAGACATTGAATATCTATATCTATCTAACAGTTTGGTTTTTAAAACAGAAATTTATTGTTTTTTTATAACGTTTAAAGTCTATTATTTTACCATCACAAAATAATCAAACAAAAACCATTATTGGGCTTCCTCCATTAAAGATAAATTGTTTATACAATTTACATTTTTTGTCTCCTTTATTAGAGAAAAATAAAAAAACTGTTTTTTACTCACACAATTACAAATAATTAGTATTATATTTCAAATAGCAATTCAACTGCAACGTTTACATTGAAATAATGGAATTTCTAAGAAAAATTCCATTAACGGTTTTTTTCTAATATTTTTCAATACGTATGCTCTTGGAAATTTATATAAAAAATTCCATATTGAATTCCTATAAAATTACATAATACGCATTTAATCTGTCCTCTATTTAATGTTTAAAAGCTTAATTTAACAAAAGTTCAAAAAGTCCAATTATAACATTTATTTCCTCCTAAATATTTGTTTGACATTTAAATTAATCCCTGTTAAATGCAGGATCCAATTTTTAAATTAAAAATCTTGGAATTGACTTATGATTGGATTTTCGTATTTGTTATTTCTATACTTAGTGCAAGGCAATCGAGCCGGAGTTTATCCGCTTTAGACCAAGGCTAAGCCGAAGCTGGCCCTCGTTTTAATCAGGCTTAGTCGAGGCGGCGTGGGGCGTGTCCAGGTGATTTGTCATGTACCTGGGGGACATGGCCATAACTTCCCGGCGAGTTCTATCGGCTAACGGTAGTTAGCCTGCCGGCTGCTCACACCTCGATTACTTGGCCAACGTGGCCAACTGCAATAAGCATAAAAAACCCGGCTGGGTGGAACTTAGCGAGTGCCTGCTAATTGTCCGTTGTTCGCTGGGTCGCCTCGTTCGCTGATTTGTTTTTCCGAGTCCCCTGTCTTCAGGTCCCATAAAACATAGTTATGACCAAGAACCAAACAGCTCTGCCTCTTTTTTCGTAGTTTTTTGGTTTTCAGTCTTCAGCTGTTTGCCAAACGGGGTCATTAACATTTGATGCGAAGTTCAAAGCGAGTTGCACAATGCCTGTGGATGGATGTTGAACTTCACGTTCAACCAGTTGCCAGCTGAAATCGATCAGGCAGCGTTTTACTTTCTCCTTAAATGTAGAAGACCAGAAACGGAGCAACCTGTTGATTTCCTGGCTCGCAGGCCACATCTGCCTCGTGACTTGCCACCAATCCGGTCTCGAGCTCTGCGCGCAATGTTATAAAATGAAGACATAATTGGGGGGGCAGGTGAAAGAAATGAGCAAGCGAGGGGGTGGGCGGCGTTGATTGCCGCTCTCCTGGCTGAATTTGTGTCAAGGCTGCCAGCACTTTTGGCTTTCAGCTGGCTAACTGCAGCCACTCCATTTGCATGCTCGCATATAAATCAGACAATCAAGGCAGGGCGTTAGTGCCAATTTGGAAAGCGGCATGCGAAGTGCATTCAAAGATCCCAATCGCAATCGAAATCGAACTCAAATCGAAGTCGAGATCGGGACCGGGCGATAAAAAGTCGCATTGTGCTGCGTATTAATGAGGGCCAAAACCGAAGTCTGTCACAGTTCGACTTGAAATTGAACGGTGCCTGACTCATTAAAATTAAAAAAAGTATAAAAAGTATTTGTAGAGCAATAAACTATTTTTTAAAAACATTAAAAAATTTTAAAATTTTATTTTTCAGTTATTTATTTTTGGGGGGTTTCTATTTATTGAATTCGGATTTTCGAGAGATAGCCTTTCCTTATCATTTGGGTCATTAAATATTATTTAACGAGCAGGTCTTCAAGCCATAGAAATTTGACCGTGCCTATATCGATCAATTTTTTTTTCGGGGCCTTTTGTTTGTGGCCAAATGGCGGCCGCAGGCAAAATCTTTGGCGCTGGATTCGTTACATAAACCGCCTTACAAGGTTCACAAGACAAGAGGCAGCAAAAGCCATGACTTGTGGTAGCATATTGCCGTTGTTTTCCCCATTTTTGGGCAAAATGTCTGTCTGATGTGTTTGCCACAATTACTCGCACAGCGCATGCAATCCCTTGCCCCGGTGAAGAGCGGCGGAGGCATTGAAACAAATCATTCGGAGGCCTTACATTGATGGATATATGTGTATTCATCCGTTGGGTACATAATATTTTGCAACTGCTCGATTTCTTAAAGTGAATGCTGGTCAACATTCACTTTTGACTCGGAGATCTCCTTCTTTTCGGATGCTGCTGATGATGCGCCATTAATGCGCTACATTAACGTAAATTACTCAAAATCATTTCACTTTCAAAAGCCAAATTCACGTCATGCCTGCCCACAACAGCCGCCACTTGAATGGGTTTTCTATTTTCGGTATATATTTTGGTAAATTAGATTTTTTTTTATGTTGCTTTGATTTCGCGAACATCGCTGATTGATGTTATAACAAAAGAAAGCTGAACGAGCAGGGATCATGGCCGCAGAGGATGGTGGTGATGGTTTGATCGAGTGGACGGGTGCTCGAACGTGCTGCTCTTTATGAATGGACGCCAGGGGTGGGCCTCCTATTTACACTGATTTGATGATACAACTACGTGCCCGATCTGCGATCTGTTTGGGCCACTGAAAAGTGCTCGAGTTGGGTCTTTTGTTCGGGTGAAAATATTTTCTTTATTTATTTCTTTATGTGCTGACTCACAGGTCGAGAAAGTGTAGCAAATAGGCATGTCAAAATGAAACTTATTGGGCATTACTGTTAAAAGGAGAACAAAGGTAAAGAAAACTATGTTCTGCAGCATAGATCGAAAGAAAAAGTTGTTGTGCTTTGTAAGGTATTTGTTTTCATAAAAATTCATAAATGAGACAAGTCTAAAAATTGGGACAATGCAAGAAAGTGTATTTTTATTACGGAATATACAATATTTAAATACCAAAAGGCCTAATTAACATCCTGGTAGTTAATAAAAAATGTAAGGAAAAATTAAATTTTATTAGTATTCAAAATGAAATACAGTTTTTAAAATGGTTGCTGGAAACGGCAAGGTAGGGCAACTTGTGGTATTAAATTTACTTGAATTTACCGGAATTTTCACAGTTTGACTGCAGAAAAAAGATAAATAAAGTCCCCAGTTTTTAGATTAATTAAAAGCCGCCCACAAGCGTGAGAACCGAAAGTGAAAAGCTGGCTACCAAGGCGGCGCTGCCCGCTTATCAGAGAACCGACCGCAGAGATGGCTAATTGAAATGCAGGGCCTGTCGACGCAATTCGCAGCAGATCTCTCGAATGGGATCGTGAGAGCCCTGGTAACCCAAATCGCGTGCTGGCTTTGATTTGTATGTGCACTAGTCAGAAATTATGTGGCAACTGATGGCAAATTGAACAGTAACAGCAACGGTAACAGATGCAACCGCCAGTTACATATTTTGTGTATATTTTTCGGAAAAACTACGTATTTAAATAAAGCACAAGTATGCTGCATGTCGGCATTCGGTATGCTGGGCAACGCAACACTCAAAAAACAGCCGGGCTCAAGCAAACCGAACCCGAATAATCACTTGGCTTATTTGTAGGCAGGCCAAGTGGAGTGCTCATGTGTTTTTATTTCTTATATTTTGAGCTTGCAACATTCGCACTCAAATTGATGATGATGACGATGATCAAGACGATGTGCCAATTGCCAGGCATTGCCGAGCCATCGAATGCCTCCAAAGTATGAGCACAAAATTTGGTAATTGTTGCAGCTATTTTGGGGAACCTGGTGGTGGACCCAGACTGTAAGACTGCCAGGTGAAAGGTGTCTGCTGCTCACGTGGCCCACTCGCGACTCCCTGTCATTTGCTGAGGATGCTCAGACGCCGGGGAGAAGTGCACTTCAGACTCGGCTAAGAAAGTCAAGGCGGTCGGCTTCGCCGAGAGCCAACGCACAAATCAGAGTTCACAGAAAGAAAATTCTTCATTAAAATGTTGAAAATTGTACTGGCCAAATAATAATAAAAGTTATTTTCTCTTTGCTCATTGAAAATAAACTTATAATTAGTTATTAGTGGTTAAATATTTTGTTTTAAGAATGGTATATCAACTAATGATAGAAAAATCACTTTTACCTATTTAGTTATCTTTTTTCTTCGCCTGTAAACTTAATGTCAGTTGCAAAAGTGGTTTTCATTTGATTTATGCACAATCAATGGCAGGCTGCAGCCAGTTTTGCATCGAGCGTTTTCGGTCAATAAGCCTGGCATTGAACTTGTCGCTCTGGCTCAGTCCCACTGATTTTGGCTTAGCCACTGCAATTTGTATGCAATTAGCAGCGAGTTGGCCAGGTATAAATCTGCAAGGGGCGACCGCCCAATTAATAAGCTGTTAAAAGCGTCAGATTGCCGGCTTCGGTTATCAGTCAGTTTGGTGCGGAGATCAAAGCCAAATTCAGTTGGTTTTTTCGATTCGCTGGCCAGCTGCAGTAGCAGCTCGGTTACATTCTATTTGAGACCGTGCAGTCCATAAACCGCACGTTAGCCGTTTCCGATGCTATCGCGATTGCGTGCCGGTCGGGTGATATATCAAAACCCTTCACATACCGCAAATTCTGCACAGAAAAAAGGATATTAAAGAACCATTCCTCATAGGTGCAATTTACCAAAATATTGGCTTAAATTCCATTTTTACGCAACAAAATGCTCTCTAAATAATTACTCAGTGAATTTAAATAAAATCGTATGTATAATTTAAAAAATGTTTATAAAAAATCCTGAAAATGTTTTAAAGCTTACATATTTATGGGTACTTTTTTCTCCGTGTAGCTGTGGGAGCTCTAATAGATTTTCTCGCGGCGATAGGATCGCGAACGTTTTGTGGGTCAGAGAGCGAATTAAGGCAGCTATGGCCCGCTTATCGTTCCTTGTACAGTGTGCCATCGAATCTGCATTGCCAATTTATGGCACAATAAAGTATCGAAGGCGACACTAATGCCACATAAATGTGCGTCATGTTGCAATTGCTCTGCCGTTAATCAAGTATGCGCCATGTGTGCCCCATCGATTCGCTGTGTTTCGCACAGTTTTTTATATTTTTTTCCCAAGTTGCCTGCGAAATGCCAGGCGGATGTGAAGACATTGGACATCAACGCTACCTGTCTGGCCAGAATCAATTAAGCAATTGGCCAGAGCAAAGCGTTGAGCAAATCTAAGCAAAGTGCAACAATTAAAACAGCATGGCCTGGCATTAGCAATCGGGCCCAGAAACGAGATCCACTCAGCATGAGTTAGGCGAGCGGATAGATGGAAGTGCAATAGCATACCGCTGTATTTGCACATCGCTGATTGCCGGCACTCGACTCGTGGCGATCGAGTGGCTTTAGCTTGGCTTTATTCAAATGCGGTTGCCGTATTGGTTAGTTAAAGTCAAATGATAAATGATCGCTAATGAAAGGTTTAGAGTTTCAGGCTCACCGCTCTTAAGAGTTATAAATGCAGAAGTGAGGTCAGCAAATATGTGCTCTATTTTTCGACCAGACAATATTTAATTATTTTAATTTTTCAATGCACTCAAAACTCATTAATTAATAAAAAATTACTACAATTAAGTTATTCGAGTTAAAAATCAAATTTAAATGTTACAATGGAAGTTTGAGTTATAATATTCATCACAAGTCTTACCCACTTATCACAATGTTATCCAAAGTTTGTGAGTAAAACTGTGTGAAGTTATAGTAGGGGCCTTGCCATAAACCTCGATTGGCAGATACAAAAAATGCAACCAACACCTCTGTGAAAACTTTAAGATGTTGGAGGCAATAAAATGCTATCTCTCATATTTTCGCTTCGCCACACTTAATCACTATCAACGAAAGCGACTGTCGTCGCATATGAAAACCAGTAAACAACTTTAAGATAAACTTAAGACATCTTAAGCATTTTCAGATCTCTGTCATATTTTCATTTGACTATACTTTATCACTATCAATGGAAATGCTGCGAACATAAATTATGATTTTCTCTGTGCATTACAAAAGTAATTTCCACACATTTACATGACATCAAAAACTAACCAAGACGGGGCAATTTACATATAAGACAAAATACAACAATATGAGAGATGTGGCAAGCTGCAAACAAAGAGAGATCCCAACAAAAAGTCCTATGCACTTGGTACGCCCCTTTTCGGGGGCCCTGCTCCCAGGTATTCAGTTGCCTGAGCCAAGATGACATAAGTGGCATCAGAGCGAACCCCGCGATACAATCGGCAGCTCTCCACAAAGTCTAACAATGCATCGGGCAATTAACGTAGCGCTGGCTTCGGAAAAAATATATTATTAGCAAATGTCAACTTTTGGATGCGCTTTAAAATATGCACACATGTGGCAGGGATCGTCCTATATGGCGACCATAATTGGGCAACTGCGCCCGTTCTTTGTTTGGCACTACACATAAAATAAGTATTCAAGTAGTTTATTGCTAAACAAATTTATTAAAAATTATTTGTTAAAATGTTTAATATATTTAAAAGAAATATTTGTACCTACATTTTTAAAATTAGTTAAACGTTTGTTTAGCACTGAATAACAATAGATTTACTATTACAGAATGTGGAAACTTTTAAATAATATTGGCAGTAAAATTAAATAATTTTGAAGTTTTGAATTGAAATTAATAAGTTCCATATTACGATTTACCATACATTTTTCGTGATATAATAACCTAAAATATTAAATACAATTATATAAAAATTATTTATTATATTATATAGTTTTTTGCAATATAGTTAGTTGGGAGTTCCAGTCCCCCGAAAAAGGTCGAATTTTCCGCGATATGTGTGTCATCCGAAAGAAACCGACTGCTGTGACCAAGTGCCTTAGATAAGCCAGAGCTGCGATTTATGTAAAAGTCGTTTGGCCAGCAATCGACGAGCCGAAATTAATTGACTCTTGCGGGCAGGTGTAAAGATTGCATATGCATGCGAGTGTGCATAAATTGCAGATATGTGCCTATAGTGGTGGCATGGCTTTTGGCCGGTTGGCAGGTTGGCCAGAAGGACGTTGCGTGCTGGCCTTTCACAAAAGCTGTCACCCCAAAGGCGAGCAACAATTAATTGACTTTACGCAGTGGCCTGCAACTCTGATCTGCATCAGGGGTCCGGCAATTAAATCTGCAAAAAGCCAAAAGCACACACTGCCCCCTTGTGGCACGCGTATTTGCCTAGGCGTGGCATGTCGGCCAACTAAAGTACTCACAATCTGTGTGGGCGAGTGCGTTTTGTTTGCATTCTAATTGCCCTGTCATGATGGCTAATGAACTAGGCGCTCCGTTCAAAAGCGTTCAAAAACACGCTCCACACACGGATTCGAAATATTTTAAGGGCAGCCTTGAACCAAATTCACTGTTGTGCGAAAACCGAAATGAAAGCCACTCGCTGGTAACCAGACTTAATAATCATTTAACTCAGTTAAAGCGAGAAGCGTAAAGAGTTGCAAATCGTGTGAGCTGTAAACCAAAAATTATGACCGCACATTGGTCAAGAGTGTGCAAGTCTTCTGTTTATTTGCGGAGCCTGTGATTAATCAAAGTCAGATGTAATATGAGCGGGAAAAGTTTGGGTTTATTATAGGCACAAAGGTCTCCAAGGGGTTTCAAATTTCTGCTGACCTTCGGAGCTCATCGCAATCGGGAGTTTGACTCCTGCACTTGCGCCTCTCGTCGACGACAACCCAATCTGTTTTATAAATATTCATAGTTAGTAAACCATATTTATTATTTACTAAAATGTAACTTACTTTGATTCGTTCTGCATCTTTGATTGTCAAAAGCGCACTTATTGGAGAAAGTGCAACGACTCACAATGGGACGTATGATACCCCTTCGCCATTCGGCACAAATAGGCCTATAATCCCTTGTACAAGGTCGTGGGCACCTGACACCGCCTTCATCAGCCTGTGTCAAAGCCAATAGTCCCAGGGATATTATCAAAAATATGAAAACACACTTCATGTTGTACAACGAAAAGTTCTGGTCTCCGAATGATCAAAATACCCCATGAAAATATTCTTTTTATACGCAAGAACGAATAATAAACAGATGTTTAATTCACTAATCACAAAATGCAGGCAGGTGCACTAAAATCTTTTCATCCGGAGAGCGGAGTTCAGTAAACCCTTGTAATGGGATACACTTAAAAGGCATCTCACTCGACTTGGTCAGCGAAAACGAAAGACCAAACTGTCAAACGAAAAGTGAAAGGACTTAAGTGCGTTATTGTTTCCCCTGGCGATTATATAAGCAACACTGATAGCCAGGGAGCTGTGCCCTTCGTCAAAATGAGACCCTCGATAGATGGCAAATGAAAATCCAAGCACTTTCACTATTTATTGCTGAGTGTATCGTCAGCTTTTACAACCTTAGGTACTTATTATCAACAATCATCGGCGATTTTAGGAAAATTGCAAAGTACTGTAAGCTTTTCTACAAATTAAATATAAAATTAGCATGGACTTCATTCAAGATTTACGGAGACAAATTTCCATTCAAATACGATTAACGATAATTTTTTGTATACTTTTTACCAATATTTATTAATTTATATTAAAAGTACAGACTTCATCTTATTTCGAATGTTTTCTAATCTCTATTAAAATCATACAATTAATTCTAAGTTCGGTGGTCAAACAAGTTATAAAGTTCAGTTACTCAAGGTGATCTCAATAAATGAAGTAATTAATTGTTTTCAAAATTATAATTAACCAATTCCAGTTACTTCAATCTTAATATGTTAAAGGGTATTTGAGGCAAACCTTGTTTTTTCGGTTATATAAGAAAAAGGGGCATGGCGTTCCTATACTTTATACTTTCACTGTTAGCCGAAGGCAGTAATAACAATAGCAATCAATATCAATACTTATCAAGAGCCGTTAACAATGGCCCGAAAAAGTGGGATTTTTTTTGTTTTTGGCTTTCGCTTTGTGCGAGGCGACAAAAGCTAACAGCGATTAACACGCGCTGCAAGTCATAAATCCGAGCGCATTAAAGCCGCGAAATAAAAGCAAGGTTGCCAGATGTCAGATGTCGAATTCCCCACCCGCCCCTCTGCTGACAGATAAAGAAACGCCCCGAACAATGGCGAGTCCGAAAAACAATATGCAACTTGGCATATGGGTTCCAAAGACTGCCGATCGACAGACAGCTGCAACCTACAGTTAATGTGGAATTTGCATATGAGAAAATGTCTGATATTTATTAAGACATGGAGGTTCTAGAAATTTAGGTTATTTTAATAAGCTAAAAGTATGCTCTGAAATATTTAACTTTAGATTGTAAAATTCTCTAAAAACAATCTTCAAGAATTTTTTAAAAAAGTTTATACAGTAATAACACAAAAATTTGTAACATAAGTTTGAGTTCTACATAAATCTTTTTTCAGTGATAAATTACGGTTTAGTCTGAGCAAATTTTACTTTACATACCAGTCGACTGGCGAACTGATTAATGCTTTTCGGCCGTAGGCGTGTTTCTATTTGTCAAAGGGGCGTGCCTTCTTTTCGGCATGTTTGCCAGCATAACGTGTTAATTTGCCTACTTTTGCTCATGTTTCTTTGCAGAATACTTCTACTGTCCCTGGTGGCGGCGGCGCAGGCGCAGTACCATCAGTTTGGCGAGCAGCTCCAGACGGCCCACGGATCCGATTGTGCACTTCTGCTGGCCGGACCCGGTCGCTCCTCCGTCTACGACTACAACGTGAATCTATTCCGCGGCACTTTGTGAGTACAAATAGAAACTGTGTATCTAGTCTTCCGTTGCAGAAAAAGTGGCTCGGTGGCATTCTGGGTTATGTTTGAGGCACAAATATTTGAACGTTGACATCGAAACGTAGTGTAGAAAAAAAATGCACACAAAATAAAAAAAAAAGGAAATTTTTTTGAAAAGACTTTAAAGTTTTACGTTTTTTAAAAATAAATTGAAAAAGTGTAGAATTGTTTGCAAAAAAATAAATAAAATATTATATTTTTTTCCACTTTTTATTGAAACTTTTTCGCAGTGCTTGGCTGCCCGACTGACACCCATAAATCTTGGTTTGTGCTGTTTCAGCTTGTTTGAGCGGTGGCAACATGGCTCTACACCTACGACAACACAGCACACGAGCTTTGAGCCAATCATTAGCAGCACAAACAGCAGCGGCAATCATTCGGCAACCGCCTTTTGACGTTGACGTTTCCAAGTTGCAGTGCCTAGGGATAGATATTCCCATACTACCCAGATACATATATATGTGTAGTTTTTGGCGGGGGCCCGCTGTGCGAGGCGATTGCATCTGTTGCTAAACACGAGTGGCTAAGTTAGTGGTAACATTTGACAGACGACGTCTTCATTGTAGCTTAATAGGAATTCCTAAGCTTTTAATAATTTATTCAATTTTCTTTGGTTTTTTTTTTCGTTCTCAGCAACAACTTTCTTTCCCTTTCGCAAAAATATATCCTTTTCCTTGCGCAAAAAATTGGCGATCTCTTCGCAGCTTCCAACGGGCCACTGACAGGGCTGATTGCTCTCCATTTCCCAATCTGAAATGATTTATTAAATTTAGAAAAAATAATTATTATTATTATTTCTATCCCCAACTCACCCAGTTTGCTGTTGCAAAGATACAATTTAAGGGTACATTCATTGGGAAAGGTACAAGTGCTGGGAGAAGCACCTCCGATTCTGGAAGCACACACCGGCATATAGTCCGAGTCACAAACTTTGGGGCACTTGGACTTGTCCACCACCCTCCTGAGATCCACAACGGATACTGCTACCAGTAGTATAATTACCAAAGATCTCATGGTGTTTGCTGGCACTTCAATGTTAAGTTTTTCGTAAATCCCACCGCGTTTTATACTCCGAAGAGGGTGTTGGAAAACAGACCTATTGGCGAAAAACATATGGCTCGGAAAATGGGTTCTCAGGTGTGATGATGGCTTCTTACGTTTCACTCGCTGTCACGGCGACTCGTTAACGGCAATCAGCAAATGGTTTTTGGCCTCGAATCGGCGACGACAGGCTTTTTGGCTCAGCGTCATGTGATGCAGACGGACGCATCATGAAGTCACCTGACAGACCGGCGCGATTTATTAGTAAACGAAAAAAATCAAAACCGCACGACAAAAAGCCGCAAACAAAAATAGCAAGGCAACACAACAGCGGCAACCCAAAACAAATGGCATTGCAACACTTGCAGATGCCAAAGGAAAAATAAAACTAAAAATAAAGAGAAAAAATACTTAAGTAAAATAAAAACACCTGAGCTGCCGTGGGGCTGCAGCAGCCATTGATGGCAAACTTTTGTCTCGAGATGATTTCGAAAAGTGACTTTGAAACGCTGCCAACACACAATGCCTCCTGAACTGAACTTCAGTCTGCACAGGGAGAAATCATTATGTCAACCAAATGATACTTAAATAAATATTTGGTGCAATTTGGTAAGAACAAATTCTTGGGCCAAGTTTTTGTTTACCGTGCTGCACTTATGCCAGCAGATAGATGTACATATTTTAAATGTCACACGATCCAGATAGAGATTGCAAATTGTTCAATTGCTCGATTGTCTTCGAGTGCTGGGGGTCACTGCGAAGTGGAGCTAATTTTTGGGGTCGCCGGGCAGCGAAAACGTGAGCCTTGCCAATCGGGCCAAGTCGTTATCGCTGACTTTGGCCTGGCTATTGAACCTGGCTGACCAGAGTCAGTTGGGAAAAATGCAGAAAAATTGGCCGCAACAACCTACTTAAAAGTTAAATACAGGTTTCGGCCGGGGCCACTTTCGTTGCGGCCTCTGCTCCGTCTGCCGAAAGTCTGCAATTGTATCTGTATCTCCATCTGCATCGGTTTTTGTTTCTGCACAACCGTCATCGCTGTCTGCGTAAGCGAAGTAGCTCCCCAGAGTCTCTCTCAAATAGAAAAAAATAAATGAAAAAAAAGATTGTAAAAGGCCGCATAGATAAATGATATTTGAATATTTTGCACGGCGAGTTTACGACACGCTTTTGCAATTATTCACAATATTACGCATACGCCGCGTGCGCCGAACCGCTGCAACTCAATACCGATCAGGAAGTGTTGGCGTTTCGCAGCCGCGCACCTGCGATCGCCGGGCCGGGATTCATAACATTAGTTTTTACTTTACAATCAGGATAACAAGTACAAGTCCGTGTCTGGGGCGGGACGAGTTGGATCGAAAGGAGTGGAGTGGATGCGATTCCATTCGATTGGATTGGACCCAAAGTGGCTTGCAGCAAGAGACGCAGTGCGTGCCGCATGCAAGCCACTTTCTAGTTGGCCCAAAACTCTGGCTATGCGCACATTGAACTTACCCGAGTCCCGTAAATTTTGTGCGAGAGTGCTCTCGACTGGCTTTTTTGGCTGGCTAAAATTAACAGGCAGACCAGTTAAGTGCCAGACATTGCCATTTTCGATTTCAATTTGACAAATTTGCCCAAGAAATATGTATGAACATTTTAAACTTGCCAAAGGCGGCATATAGGTGCTCTCTAAAAGTAATAAAAATACTTATAAAGTAAAATTAATAAATTACATAATAATTAATTAAAACACAAAATTAAATGGAAGTGCTAATTGAAGTTTCTTGTTCATATTTAAAATTTTTGAAGGATCCTTTCTTAATTTTAAGGTGTTTTATATTTCGTGGTGAATTTAGCAAATAACAAAAAAAAATTACAAATAAATTGTAGATTTGCTAGAACTTATTTAAATTATTTAGGAAAAAATTCCTTTTATTATAGCTTTGTATATTTTAACCTAAGCTACAGTTGAAGCCCCTCAAAAATGACCCAGTTAAATGCCTAAATAGATTTAAAGCGGAAAATTTAAAGCTATGGAAAATTACCCAGTGACAGGGTAAAAACACGGCAAGTTCGTGAAAAATGTTGCTTTTAGCCGAAATGGTTTTGCATTGCGTGTGCTCGCAATGTCTCCTCCGCCAGTTGCTGTGCATTTTGTGGGCATATTTTCTGAATCCGCTGCTGCTGATGCAGTTGCTCCAGCTGTTGTTGTAATTACTTAATACTTACGCATTGTTAACACGCATCGTTGTCGCCTGACACGCGTTTTACATGTCGCACCATTCGAGGAAGTGGCTGTGGCCCCCATTTTTGGTTAGATTTTCCCGGGCTGCGAAGCCCCAGCTGCCCGACATAAGAAATTTGCGTGTTTTTGGCATTTAATTAACAAACCGGCTGGCTAAAGCAGAGTAATATGGCAATGTTAAAGTTAAGTTTGTTACTGTAACAGTAACAGTTGGCCATATTTGTCCGCTGGCCAAGCTGAATGGAGACGTCGAGGCAGCCATTTCCTGTCACGAGGAAAAACCGCCGGCAGCCGGTTAACTTTAGTCGTACTCAGCTCCAATGGTCAGACTGATGGCTCCCGGCTGCACAAAGGTCTGGTGGTACCATTTGTTCGTGTCCAGCACAACTGGGAAGATATACGTTAGTAGTATGCATTTTAGGGATTATTTCGAGCAGCTCCTCACTTATGTCGCCCTGCTGGACCACCACATCGAATCGCTGGCACTGCAGGTAGCACTCGGGAGGCGGGACCAGTAGCCACCGCTTGCTGCCCGCCAGCTGAGCCTGCCACGATGGCAATCTCACATTGTCAATCTGCAAGACAGTTCGGACAAATATCAGAAAAATTATGCAAATACACGTATTTACTAGTTTCCTAACACATCGCGTTTTTAAATTTCTCAATTTAAGACGGCACTTCAAATGGCATTAAAAATACTGTTGGCAGATCTGTACAAATCTTTAATTGACTTCAAAATAGAATGCATATTATTACATTCAAATAAACAATTTAAAATCATATTCTTACTCTTAGTTAACGGTTTAGAAATAAATATTTTTTACGGTTTTTGTTAATTACCTAATTAGTTTAGAATGGAAGTCCACTTGAAGACCATGATTTATTGCCTTTAATTTTTGGATTGTATTCACATTCACGTGATTTATTTCTTGAAACTTACATGCATTTGTGCCCCCAATCCAGATGTGCCAATGAAAAACCAATCGACAGCATTATTTTCAGAACTCTCCGGTAGAAAATAGGGTCTTCCATAGTGCCGCCGGAATTCCTCAGCGGTTTCCGCATGACAATTGCTCCAACCAAAGTACCATGGCTGTTCTCCTGGCCTAAGCTCAACCCGATCATCGGGCATGTCCAAAGCCTCGTAGATATCAAAGAAGCCTGTTTTATAAGGCAGAAACTGACACTCCCTTATGTGTTGCTTTTGCTTGGCCCTGGCATAAACGTCGCGAAAATACCAATAGTTGAATAGCTAAAGTGTGCATTGGATGTATGTTTCAGTTGTTTTCTTTAAATTTTTGGGAAAATTTACCGAAATTGCGGTCCAATTTTTGGTGGCATCACTAACAATAACTGGGGCTGCGCTATAGGCGAAGTTCTTCTCAAACTCCTGTGGGCTAACATTTTCAAGACGCGGTACACTTTTAATATTCGCACAAAAATCACAACTTTCAGGCGGTCGAAGGGCGTAACGCAGGGGGCGTGGCAAAGAAAGAGTACAATTCTAATAAAAAAAAAAAAATTATAGAAAAAACAATATTGTTCGTTTATAAGCTTTTATTCTTTTTGATAATAATATGCAGCCATACCTTTCCTTGCATTTCCTCATAGTAGAATTTTACACAGAATAAAATTAAAATGCTAAGAAATACTATTTTTATCCACTTTATCATTTTTGCACTGAATAAGAAACCTTTGCATATTTTTGGTAAAGCGTCCTGAAGTGTCCCATTAAAATAATATGGTTTATGGACATCCAATATCTGCTTTAGTCTACTGCGACTCTGCTCTAAGTTTCCTTGCTTCATCCTGACGATGTTCCTTTGGCCAAGTTAAGTTCTATACTGAATTGGAAACTTGGCTTTGTTCTTTCAACGTGGCTTTTTACGCGATGGCCCGGCAATAATTTTATTATCTGTTAGTGCGCAGGCTTCCTCGAAAGCGTAAGTGGGTTGTGTGGTTAGCATGTGATAAGGGACAAATTGCCTGTTATTGTCAATTTAAACCACTTTCACATCGATTTACTTACAGGAACCCTTACAACAATGGACCCGGAACTTGCATCACTTACGATGCCATCAATGCGGCCTACTTGGATGCACGCAAGCGTATTCGTAAGTTAATCTTCTTAAAAATAAAAAAAAAATATTTAAAATTCACACATGCGTATTTTGCAGATGTGGCTCAGCCAAAGTCTGACTGGAAGCCCGAGGAATTGGCCACCGTGGGCGAACTGCTGCTCGACATTTCCATTCAATTGGCCCGAACGTAAGTAATCAGCGCTAAACGCATTTGAAAGTTGCCCTGGCACGCCCACGATCTCCATCTCCCTCGGCGCTAATAACGATTGCCAAATCACGCATGACAAGGCAGTTAAGTCGTGCACCACAGCACCACCGATAACTGCACCACTGAACCACTGAAAAGACCGCCTGCAGTCATCAAATATGCATGAGTCTTTTCTTGCCTCCAAGGTTCTACGCTCGCCACAAATCGGAACTCAAACTCGAATTCATCAGCACAGAAACAAAAAAGTTGCATTTGTTGGTCGATATATATTTGAAAAGTATATCACATAGAAGGGAATATATTATTATTATCTAAATTTACATTTCCCAAAAATTAAAGTTAACTTAAATTACAGGATGTTCTAGGAATAAAAGTAGATAATAAATAACTAAATTCAATGACAGGCATTAGGTGATTTAAAAAAAATATCTTCATTTGCATTTCATTAAAAAAAATTGTATTTTTTAATTCATTAAAAAAACGTAATACTCGATAAACCGCTAGGATGAAACACACTTCGGATCTTTTGATCTATTTCTTTCTGTGTGCGCCAGTTCTTTTTTGAAAGTTCGGCACATGCAAATGCTAATTGTCTGAGGTTTTTGACTGATGGCCAGTGGCTGACAGCCAAAGAAGTGCATTCGAGAGCTCGTCGAAGCCTTCTTCCCAACTGGCGCAACCGCATTTTTGCCAAACAAAAAATATTTGCAGCTATTTGCGAAGCTCGCAGCGCAGATGTAAACAAACGGGGATTATGCAATGGACCGCTTCGCAAACAGCCAGTAAGCCAGTAAGCAGTGAGCCAGTAAGCCAGTGAGAGTGCGCGTGACTGTCTTGCCCCTCGAAAAGAAGCTGCGGAAGATGCCGCACAGCATTTCCAGTTTGGTTTTTCCTTTTTCTGCCATGTGATCAGTTGGCCAACGATTGGCCCCTGCAGCGCACTCAACGGCTGCACAGGAAAAAATATATATCACCAAATGGGTCATAAATGTAGACATTTTTGCTACCTAAAAGTGGGCTAATTAAAAAAATGATTGAATTGATAATTTTAGTAGCAGTTTTATAAAACTTATTTACTAGTGAAAATATTTTTCCTATACTTATTACAAAAGTTAAAATAAATTTCCGGGACTTAAAACGTTAAATATAATTATATATCTCAGCGCAGAGACAATCTGCGCATTATATTTGCGTTTACCATTTTTATGGCCAATTTAGGTTTTAATTTTTTGTGTCTTTGGGGAGTGGAATCTGGGTAAGCGGGTTGGCGAGTCAGTTGGCCACAATTTGGGAGTCTCGGGGAGCCTTTGCTCATCATCGTCATCACCTCCCCATGTGCGACTTTCACTCAGCCCGCCGTCTAAGCCGATATTCGGACCAGGGGGGGCAGCATCTTCAACTGTTGCACCTGCAACATCTGAATTGCCGTTGTATAATCTCTTGATTGTGGCTAATAACATGTTGTAAACGGCCAATTCGGCGGCTGCCTGGCTTTATGGCATTCTATGAAAACAATGGGGCGACTTTAAGCAGCGAATGGCTCATGTAAATCAATGATGAGCGATTGAAAGATATCGCATTTGGAGATCTTCTCCCTGCACACTTCTGGTACTTCTGGTACTTTCACGTGCTGCGACCCTGCAACCTCGGCGAGTAAATTGCCGACCCAATTGACTGTGAAGCTTTACAGTTTTTCACTTCCCATCTTCACACAATAGCCAGCCGGACGCAGTTTCCCTTTGGCTTTTCTCGCTTTCTCATGCACTCGAGGAAGAGTTGATGTCGGTCCCTTTGGCGATTTATGTGCCGGTACACACAACTTCCTCCGCCGACTAAATACCAGTTTGTCAGCACTGAAGTCTCGCACAGAAATCGAGAAAATAATAATCAGGTACCGATTGAAAGCATAAAAATTTGCCACTGTCAACGTCAGGCATCAACATCAATATCTGTCGACCGGGCCAAAAGCGCGTTAATTGCGGTCCGCTTGCTAACTGGGCTAATACGTTACTTTTGCAATTTTCCAATAAAAATCTGAAGACTACACGGGGAAAAAAATAAAGTATGTAGAATTACATATTAGTGTTTTAATGTTTATTTAAAATGTTTCAAATCACTTATTAAAATGTGTAGGTATATAATTTTTTTTATTACATATATTTTTAAAGCTAATTACCTCATTATTTTTATTAAAGTGTTAATTTTTTATGATCAAAAAGTTGGCGGCAGGAAAGAGCCAAGTTCAGCGATATCCGCAGTTGCGTTAAGATGAAGTGATAATTACGTTTGACTGGCGACTAAATTCCATTTATAATTACTTTTTCAGATATGGCTTATCGTATGAAGAAATCGAGAAGGGACTGCCCACGATCGATACCTCGAAGACCCTGATCCGTGAGGTGTGTCCACCGTTCTTTGCCGGAGTTGAGTGTCGCCCGGGAAAGTACCGGCGATTCGATGGTCTCTGCAACAACATCGAGCATCCCACCTGGGGGGCAGCAAATGCTCCATTCCAGCGCCTGATTGGCCCACTATATTCGGACGGAATCAACGCTCCCAGGATCTCGGTGACTGGACGGGATCTGCCCTTCTCCCGAGTGGTTTCACGCACCATGCATCCCGACGATGGCTTCCACGATCATGCGGGCACTGTGATGGTCATCGCCTGGGGTCAGTTCATGGATCACGACTTTACGCTCACGGGAACGCCACTGGGTAAGTTATATGGTTTTAAAAAGGAAAAGATTAACCATCTCTTCTGAACGAAATCTAAACCTGAGGACTTTATAATCTAAATTTTAATCTTATTGTATTGCAGATCCCATTAACCGCAATGACCCCGAGGAGTGCTGCAAGCGACCTTTGCATCTGAAGCACCCGTACTGCAATGAGATCCGCATTCCCGATGATGACTACTTCTACCGTCTGTTTAATGTCAAGTGCATTGATTTCGTGCGCGGCTTCCCTTCACCTCGTCCGGGCTGCAAATTAGGTGGGTTTTGCTATGGTTAAGCTAGGAAAGACTAACTTTAACTATTTCTATTATTTATATTTATTTCAAAGGATCCCGTCAGCAGTTCAACACCTTGACAGGTGTCATCGATGCCAATACCGTTTATGGCGTGAAGGAAGCCTTTGCCCGCAAGCTGAGAACTGGCTACGGTGGATTGATGCGCATGAATCCGGTGTTCCAGGAGTACGGGTTGAAGGATCTGCTGCCCCTCAAGTTGGACATTCCCGATGAGGGCTGCACGCGACCCAATAAAAGCATGTACTGTTTCGAGGGCGGTGAGATCCGTGTTAATGAGCAACTGGTGCTCACCTGTATGCACACCTTGATGGCCCGCGAACACAATCGACTGGCTACCGGATTATCGCAGATCAACAAGCACTGGGACGATGAGACCCTCTTCCAGGAATCCAGACGCATCAATATCGCCATAGTTCAGCACGTCACCTTCAACGAATTTCTGCCCATTTTACTGGGCAAGGAAGTGATGGAAAAGTTCGGTTTGGTTCTGCAGAAGGACGGCTACTGGGATGGCTACGATCCCACAGTAAATCCCGGCATCATTGACTCCTTTGCCGGAGCAGCCTTCCGTTTTGGCCACTCCCTGCTGCCAACAGCCGTGGAGCGCTGGTCCAAGGCCCACAAATTTATTGCCTCCAAGCGTCTGTCGGATCTGATCAGGCGACCTTACGATCTGTACCGCGCTGGAGTCCTGGATGAGTACTTCATGGGCCTGATGAACCAGGTGGCCCAGGCCATGGACGACTCGATCACCCAGGAGGTCACCAATCATCTGTTCAAGAAGGAGGGCGCCCGGTTCGGAATGGATCTGGTGTCCTTTAATATGCAGCGCGGTCGGGAGTTTGGCATTCCCGGCTACATGGAGTTCAGGAAGTTCTGCGGTCTGCCCACCTCTAACACTTGGGACGAGATGTACGGTTCCATGCCCAATGAGACGGTTCTGCGATATGGCAGCATCTTTGAGTAGGTTTAAAGATGAGATAATGACTTTAAGGAAGCGTCTAATAATATTATTCTAACATTTTATAGACACCCTGCTGATATCGATCTTTGGTCTGGCGGCGTCTCTGAAAAATCCCTGCCCGGTTCGATGTTGGGACCGACTTTTGCCTGCGTTATCGCCACCCAAATGAGTTATCTGCGCCGTGGAGATCGTTTCTGGTATGAGCTGCCCAACCAGCCCTCATCATTCACACCCGAGCAACTGCAGGAGATCCGCAAGGCGAAGCTATCCCGTTTGATCTGCGACAACACCGACTTGATTGATACTGTACAGATTTATCCTATGGTCTTGCCGGATCATGAAATGTAAGTATTAATTATAAGGCTTTTATTTAAATATCAAATATTAAAAATTAAATACTTTTAGTAACCCCCGTGTGCCCTGCAAGAGCGGTATTATACCATCAATTGATCTGACTAAGTGGGCGGACTTTGGCGGTCATGGCGTAGACCCCTCTCTCTATGTAAGTTAATAATCTAGAGATCAAGCTATAAAATATTTCATATATATTTTTTTTATATAATTTTTTAGAACTACATCAATGAAATACCCGACACGCTGCTGAACTTTAGGAAGTAACTGCCATTTGTGTTTCCCACGTTTTGTTTAACAATCTCGATTCATTTTTTGGACTCCATATCTTTATCTTCAGTCCTCTATAGTTCTACATCCTTCCTCTTTTCACTGCTTAGTCTCTTTACTAGTCTTTGCTCACCATCCGCATTTCTATAGCCAGTCAGTAGTTTTGACACTGCCATTCTTCTTCAGAGCTCTTTCCAGCATTTCCATGCATGAACCACACATTCTCTGTATATATTATTATTAAATAGCAGAAATAGAGCCTTTAAGTTAAAGCATATCGAAGCAATCAGAAACAACGATAAAGAAAACATAAATCATTTTTAAAATATATCTCGATGTAAGTTTTTGTATATGCAAGTATTTTTTAAATAAAATTTAAAAACAATATTTGTTCAATTTGTTGGCGTTTTTGGTGATGATGCTTAAAAAATGGTAAGTTTTAGAATATTAGCTAAATATTTGTAAACTATTTCTAAGACCTGAATGTATGAAAACATTAAGCGTGGTGAAAGTTAAAAGCCCCCTAATAATACCTATTTCTAAACCAATGCAGATGTCAAAAATTCTTTAAAGTATTTGTTTATTCACTACACAATTACAAGTTAATAGGAACTCTTTGGTTTCGCGCTGGGAAGTCAGTTGTTTAGCAAAAGTAATTTCATCATCGTTGTGGTCGACATCAGCAGCCAAGATCGCCAAGACTTGAGCATCGTGTTGAGCATCGCATTGACCCAAATCCACACCTGAGTCACAGGCCATAAAAGCACACATCACCACACACACCGCACACCGCACAAGAGGCGCTTTTCTTCGATTTACTCAAGAGCGTTTAGGAACGGCGCTATAGAGGCTATATCCTCGCAGTCGGGAATGGCTTTGCCCTTGAACTTGAGGCAGGATAGGGCACACGTCTGCCCCTGAAAGTAATCCCCCAGCATGGTCTTGCACTGGACGCAGTTATTCAGGCACACCTGTTTAGAAAAGATCGATAAAATGGTTTTTTAGTTAAATCATTTGTAAAACAAGTCTAGTATGGAATGTAGTGACATTTAGCATTACATTTAAATACCGTTAGAATAAATAAATAAATTTGTAATAGTAATTCGACTTTTAAATCAATTAGATATTTTTTAAAATTACTCATAAATGGAAATTGATAAAGTTTATTAAATTTGTAATAAGTAAAATTTAATATAATCAAAATAATAATTGATAATATAAAAATGAATTATTTTTAGAGTTGTTAAAAAACCAACCTGAATAAAATCAATGCCGCCCATGGAATCTGCAATAAATGGTAAAATAAAATTTGAAATTAGTAAAAAAGTTTACAGAAATGTCATATATAAAACTTACCAAATCGCTTGTGCGTATAATGATTTATAGCGGGCATTGCATTTCCAAAATGCAGCAGACACACTGCAACTGCCACAAAGGTGCACATAATCAAGGGCTTGCAGTTCATGATTATTTTTGGTATTAAGATCCGAATCGATTTGTTTGGAGAGCTGACTGGCTTGCGACCGTTGTCTGTCTAGAGCGGAGTGGAAATAATTATTATCGCTCGTTTGTCTTCTTATTTTATATACATATGCTCTCGGCCCAAACGCAGATGCGAAAGCTTAACAGAGTAAAGAAGCCCGAGGCGGCAGAAAAAAATAAAAAATAATAAAAAAGCAGCTATTGAAGCCGGTCGCAGATGCGAGGCAGGCCAGCCCCAGTGGCGCTAAAATACGTCAGATCTTCAAGCCAATCGAAATCAATACAAATTCAATCAAATATCCATTATAGTTGCTAAGCGTATGCAAATTCGCAAGCGATACGCAAAAATTCAAAAATGTTTCTCCATAGAAGAGAGTTTGTTCAATTTTGCATAATTATCTGAACAGATTTTATGACACATTTAAATGGGCAATGAATGGATGAGCAGCAGGTATTTAGCAAATGGAATTTATGGAATGTCAACGGAGAAGCTACACAGAAAGATATATTTGTTAATTTTGGCAAATTAAAAATATAAATGTGTATTGTTTGTTAAGATTATTTTAAGTTAAACTTTATAATCAATCTATTGCATTATATGATTTTTCTATGATATCTTAAGTGATAGTAAATCTGATTTAATACAAAAATAGAAAAATAAAAAGTAACAAATGTGTTATTCGTATTATTTTTGCCTGTGTAACGTTTATCAAAATTTTCTGTAAGTCCATAATGGCGAATTCCTAAAACGCATGACTTGAAAAATTTCCCCGATTTTCAAGAGCACATTACAAAATTCACCGAACTTGGGAAAGAAAGTAAAAAGCTCTTTTCGAAAAACTGCTATAGTAGCAGGAAGTGACAAGCGAACGGACACAGCCGAACCGAACTGAAATCGTCGTAATGAATGCAAATCGTATGCGACTGGCGAGCCCATTAATTAATGGCGCTGTAAATGCAGTAAAAATATGGATAAGATGTAAAGCGTAGAACGGATCCAAGACCAGATGCCGCCGCAACAATAAGTTACGCCCGGTAAAATGTAAATAAAATAAGAATTCTTTTGTCCTGCCTCCAACCGGACACGCTGCCAACTGGTTTCGATAACAATTTATTCCAAGCGAATCCCACAAAACAAAATATGAAAAATAAAATAAATACAAAAATAAAACGAAATCAACTATATCGTGGGAATTTTTTTAGTTATGTTAATTTTATGCGACACAAATTGTATGTTTCCTAACTAATTGGCAACACGCGCCAGCGTATGAGTAATGGATAAAAGCCCATGCGGCGTATACGTCACAGACGTTTCTTTTTTGTGGGCGTGACACCTTTGAGCCAGGCTTAAGATTTTCGGCCCAGTGACGTAGGAACGGTACTCGACACTTACCGGTAGTTGATTGTTTGGCAGCGAAGGCGTGGGCGTTGAGTGGCTCGACGGAGTACGTTGGCAACACGTTTGTTTGCTGGAAACTGGTTCTAGATTGCAGAGTTCTTGTTGTATTTATACGATTGTTTGATATGCACGAGCAAATTAATCAATTTATCTGGCCGGCAAATCCACCTAATTGAATATGTGCAAAATGGCAAAATGTCACTTCCGCTGGCAATAGTCGAACGCTTTCTTGAGTGCTTTTCACAGCGGTGTTCTGAGTACTGGATGTTACTTAGCCAGTTTAATTGCGTTTCTTTCAGCTACGGTTTCGGGTTGGTTAGCCAGTTGCGAGCCAAACAGGAAATGATATTATACTATCGAAAGGAGTTGTTTTTCCTAGAGCACGACATCTTGTTGGGCTGGATTTTTTCTTCCGTGGTATAAACAATAAATCACGCTCTGAAAGGGAAACCCACACTCACTTGTTTCAGATTAGCATAAAGTCTATCGCCTTGAAAGCGGAAGGATTGTGAATATTGCAGTTAAAACAAACATTTACTTTATGAAGAAGTTTGTCAACCATGTTAATTAATTATTAATAAATTTTATTCAACAAGCAAAAATAACTTTATAAATTTAAAAGTTTTAAAGTTTTTTGGGGATAAGTTTCAAATTTTTTAGTTATTTTTTATGAATTACTTAAATTACTTTAGCAGAATCATTTAATCAATTCTAACCTCGATAGTTAAGGACAGGGTATTAAGTTTTAAATGTTTTATTTTTTAAATTATATCAAAAATCCATGCAAATATATTTTGAAATATATATTTATAAGCCCAACCAGATTTACAAATTTCTTTATTTAACGTTACTTTAAAGCAGTGCAGATTAATGTAAAGCAGTTTTTCAAAATAAATTTCCTCTAGATGTCGCCCAAGCTATCGTTGTAGAGAAACGACGTAAAATTCGTGTAATGTTTGTTTGTTCTGTAAACCAACGATAGGTGTCTACTATGGTCTTATCCAAAGCTGTGAAGGATACTTTAAAAATAAGATGGGATAAAATAGGCACTCAGCCTTTTTAAGGTCTTTTTTATCACATTTGTATAAAAAATCGATAGTTTTTATTTGTTAATCAACGATAGTTATCTGTAAACCAACGATAGTTGTCTACTATGGTCTTATCCAATGCTGTGAAGGGTACTTTAAAAATAAGATTAGATAAAATAGGCACTCAGCCTTTTTAAGGACTTTTTTATCACATTTGTATAAAAAATCGATAGTTTTTATTTTTTATCTATTAATGATTTAATCGACCTATGTTTACTATTGAGCACTTTATCGGACTCGATAGTTAAAAGTCATGAGAATAAAAATTCAAAAGTTCTCCTAAGTTGTAGCTAGATTAGGCATTGTTAGCTCGATAGCATTCGTAAGAGTTTTAAGAGCTCTCAAAACACTCTTCCCAAGACTAAATTTTTATGAGACAAGACTAAAATAGTTTTCTCTAGGAGGACCTGATCAGTGTGATGTTTATTGGTCCATTTATTGACTCCTTGGAGGCAATCAATTTCTGTTCAATATAAATCTCATTATTAAAGTGCTGGGCGGATTAAGTTCTCCTTTTTGTATAGTGCCCCCACTGGACGTGCGTTGAAATTGCTGAAAAGCCACAACAGCAAACATTTCAACCGATGACCAGGAGGCGAAAGTGTGTTGGTGGGCGTGGCACACCACCGTACGCGCCGTCGAACAGCGAAAACTTTTATTAGTTGCAGCGTGTTCCCTTCCCAGTTCTCCCAGCTTCCTCCAGAAACCCACAGCGAGTAAATCAGTAAACGATTTTCTTTATAGTGCTGCATTTTCGAAGCAATTTCTCCACTTTTTTTTCGACGACGGCAAGAAACTTTTATTTTAAACCAAGCCAAAAGCCGAGATTTTCGGACGCTTTATTTATGAACTCTGCCCGAAGAGTCGATGCGCCTCACATATCCCTTTCATACATTGCAATCGCATCCTTTGTGCCTGGGTAGATATTTCAGGCACGTAAGCATTAAATTTTTTAGCCACACAATATGCTCATTGTGCCACTGATTTTAGCTCCAAGATATACGACTATATATGTATGCTGCCAGCTTCTGCCGGGCATGACAAAAGAGCAATGAAGCCTATTTTGTAGCTGCAAAGTTTGCCAGGTCGAACGAAAAACTTTATTTAAATATATACCTACAGTAGGGGTAAAAATAATAGCATGGCACGTTTGTGTTTCAAGCTATTCCATAAATATTACACATTTTCTATTTATTTTTCTTTTAATAAGAAGAGATTTTTTTTGCTTTTTTTTATTTAAAATGAAATAATTTTCATTTTGTTTTAAAGATATCTAATATTTGTACAGAAGCTGTGTTGTACGCTTTCAATCTGTTCAGTTCACAATCCCGCATGAAAAGGACACCAGCTCTTAATAAAGTTTCACTTGTTAATAATAAACTTTAAAGTATTTTTAGCTATGTCCCCGAAAATAAAGGCTAGCCGAG